AATTTCCTTGCCGTGGGCCTAAGAGCAACCATATCCGGGGACGACTATTTAATTTCTCATTTATTTCATTCCCACTCTCCTTTGGAGTTTTGGACACACCTTAGAGGAATATATGTCCACCTGATGCGGTTGAGAATGACCTGCCTTAGACCTTCAGTGACAAACAATGAGTTTAATTTGAATGTCTCAGAGAAATCTACCACTGGTATTTCTCCACCATGGACGCAGGTATAAGTTTTCACGCTTGCTTGTTACTCGTTGACATCTTGTAATTAACTTTTCGGACATGACTTAGACAACTGTGTGATGAGAGTCGATGCATTACATAACGTTGCTCTATATAATGGAATATATATCCAATTCTAAAACCTAACTATAAATCCCCCCCACAACAACAAAGAAACGTTTCGGGGGATGGGCTCCAGGCTCCATTTGTTAGGTGGGGGCATTTTTTTTCTTCCTCTTCTTCTTCAGGTTTGTACCCTGCCAAGCTGTGGCTATGTTGCAGCCTGATCCATATTAAATCCTCTAGATTAACAGAGCGGAAGCATAGCTCACGCCTTACTTTTAGCTGCTCCGCCTTTAATTTCTCGTCCTCTCTCTGTCTCTCCATTTAACATTTGACCCATTGCTTCTTCTTGTGGTACCCATAGCGTCCATCCGCGATAATATAGCATAAGAATTACTCTTGTTTTTTAAATTGTTTTTTTAAAATTTTGACGAAAATTAAGATAAAAATTATTTTTATTTTAATATATTTTATATTAATTTTTTTAAAAAAATTATAATGTAAATGCTCAATATTTTTTAATATAAAAATATTAAGTATCTTAAAAATAAAACTTTATTTTGAGACAAAAAAATAGATAAAAGATAGAGATTTTAGAAATGGATCGACTTCATTTTTCATTTAATTTTCTCTTGGAAAACATTAACCTCGTATTGATGCATGTTAAGGCAAAACCAACATCTCATTGAAGAAATTCATGTCTCCTTTTTTGCCCATTTTAGTGCACGTCCACATCTTCTGGAAATTACAACTTTGAAGCTCTCCCTTTACTTGTCCATTTCTCCCTTTTCGTTTGTGGTGATTGTGTTGATTAGGACATTTGCATGGTTAGGGTTTTCCCAGGTCGTGACCTCTTCACGCCTCATGGATGGCGAGGCCATCCGCGAGACTACCACCAGCCCGCCATGGAAATTTACGAGGGCGCTAAGTTCCAAACCTTCAGCCGTGGCACCGCGGCATTGCCTCTGGTGTGCATGAGACCGCATGAAACTCATTCCTTCGGCATTTTCTATGGCCAAAACCCTATGAAATTCTCCTTCAACGTAGTCCTTGCTGATCTGATCTTGGTCATTTTGATCACCCGGACTGTTCGCTTCCTTCTCAGGCCTCTCAGAGAGCCTAGGTTCATTTCTGAGTTAATCGTAAGTATCATACCTTTCTCAATTTCTTTTTGGTTTTGGGGTCCCTTCTTTTTTTTTTGTGTGTGTTGGATTGCTAAGTTTTTCGTCTTCTTTGATGATTATATGATTTAAAGGGCGGCATTATCATTGGACCCTCCCTTCTTGGCCAGAGCAAGAGCTTTAGCCATATCGTTTTCCCACTCTATTCCAATTTTGTGATGAGAAACGTTGGAGTGATGGGGTTTATGCTATTCCTTTTCATAAGTGGAGTGAAGATGGACCTAGGATTGTTGAAAAGATCCGGAAAAAAAAACTTTTATATTGCCTTGATTAGCATTGTTGTTCCTCTCGTAATTGTGACTGTAGTTGCAATCATTACTCGAAAATCAATGGACAAAGAACTTGCCAGGGCTTCTTCAATTGGAATAATTGCCTCATCTTTGGCGATAACAGCATTTCCCATTCACTATGCGGTACTTCAAGAATTAAACCTTCTTAGCTCCGAGGTTGGAAATATGGCCTTGTCCATAGCTTTAGTTAGCGATACAATTGGGATGAATTGCTTGGTCATTTTCGAGGCAATGAAACAAGGGGAAGTATCCGGCAAAGATGCTCTTTGGTATATGATTTCTTTGGTGGTTCTTCTAGCTTTCACTGTCACCGCCGTCCGACGAGCAATGATGTGGATAATCGAAACCACCCCTGAAGGAGAACCGGTGGATCAGTTTTATGTGGTTGCCATTTTGCTGGGGGTGTTCGTGATGGGCTTTTTGACAGACATGTTTGGTATAGCCATTGCTAATGGCTCATTCTTGCTAGGATTGGTGATTCCAAACGGGCCCCCGCTAGGGGCGACCCTGGTCGAGAAGAGCGAGACAATTATAATGGAAATCATCATGCCGTTTTCGTTTGCTTTCATCGGACTCAACACGGATTTTTCTGCTATGACTGAGGCTGGCTGGTCGACCTTGGGACCGCTGTTTGCCATGGTTATATCAGGTTACCTGTCCAAATTATTGTCAACGCTGATGGCTGCCTACATGGTAGCCATGCCATTGAGAGATTGTCTTGCTCTCAGCCTTGTTTTGAGCTTGAGAGGTCAAGTGGAGCTTATTCTATACGTCCATTGGGTAGACAAAAATGTATGTCCTCTTCCTTCATATGTCCCCTGCCAATTCTCAGCTAGAAATTATCTCATAAATATGACTCAGGGTATTCATCTGATCATTTGAATTGTGTTTTGGATGTTTATTACAAGCAGATAATAAAGTTACCTGGGTTCACAATGATGGTGTTTCTAACAATGATGTTGACCGGAACTCTGACACCTTTGATCAGCATTTTCTATGATCCCACAAAGCCTTACATGGTAAACAAGAGGAGGACCGTTCAACATACCCCTCCGGATACAGAACTTGGGATCCTACTCTGCATTCAGGACAAGGAAAGCGTGCCAAGCCTTGTTAACCTTCTTGAAGTCTCTAATCCTACTGTTAACAACCCTCTCTCAGTTTACGCTTTTCACCTTGTCGAGCTCATCGGCCGTGCTAACCCTTTATTCATAGACCACGAGGATCAGGAACAGGAGGACCTTTGCATCAGGTTCCCTGACTCGGAAACAATCCAGCATGCTCTAAAGCTCTATCAGGAAAGGAGGGATGAATGTGTAAGGCTCCATCTTTTCACGGCTACGACAGCAAAACGAACGATGTATCAGGATGTCTGCAAGCTTGCTTTGATAAGCAAGGCTGCCATCATCATTTTACCTTTTGAGAAGGAACGCGTTGGCGACATTGCAATAACTGAGCATTGGGGTGGTGGGCAGCACTCTTTAAGCACCAACGTCTTAGCCAATGCACCTTGCTCGGTTGGAGTTCTTGTAGATAAGGCCCACCGATGGCACCTTCCCTTATCTCGCTCCTTCCAAGGCGCTATCCACAACTTTATTGTGCTGTTCCTAGGAGGAGCAGATGCTAGAGAGGCTCTTGCTTATGCAGATCGGATGGCTGGCAACCCGAACGTCTCCCTCACTGTAATAAGGTTTCTTTCTTCAAACTCTGAAGGAGATGACGAGAGGGAGAAGAAGCTTGATGATGGGGTGGTGACCTGGTTCTGGGTCAAGAACGAAACAAACGAGAGAGTGATTTACAGAGAGGTGGTTGTAAGAAATGGAGAAGAAACAGTTTCAGCAATCCAGACGATGACGGAGGAGAACTATTATCATCTTTGGATCATGGGAAGGAAACAAGGGATCAATCCTAGGCTTCTGGAGGGATTGTCAACATGGACAGAGAATCAAGAAGAGCTTGGAATCATCGGGGATTATGTTTCATCTACTGATTTTGGTGCCGCGGATTCTGTGTTGGTGGTGCAACAGCAAATTTTGAGAGCGCAAGGTGCCACCATTGCAACTCCTTCATCAAGCTTTTTGCGGCGCTTGCTAACCTGACATATATATATATATATATATATATCCGTAGGGTTAAATTCAATTTTTCCAATGTAAATGGGTTCTAACTCCATCTTTTTTATCATGCTTGAAACTTATAAACAGATCATGACCTCTAGTCTAGATGTTAGTTAAGCCAAAAATTAATTGTAAGTATGAGCTTGTATTTGATATCAAACACATACATATACTAGTACAATTTTCATGTACTCTAGTCTAGATGTTAATTAAACAAATAATACACATATACTAGTATGTTTATGATTATGATTATAGGACAATACAAAGATTAAATACAACTCTAGTACATACATACTTGTATGTTTATGATTATTGGGACAATACAAATACTAAATAAAATAAAAAATTATGATTAAGAAAAATTATGATTATTGGGACAATACAAAGAAAAGATTAAATTAAAATCCAAAAATATGCGGTGAGCGTGGATCGAACACGCGACCTTCAGATCTTCAGTCTGACGCTCTCCCAACTGAGCTATCCCCGCATGTCCGGAAACTTTACTGGATAAATAAAGATCATAGTTGACTTCAATGACTTTCCTTCAAAAATATTTTTCTTACTTATAATAATATTGAATAATATTTTTTAAAAGACAGAAAAATTTTATAAAAATAAGAGAAAGAAACACAAGGCTACCAAAACTGGTCGAAGAAACAAATAATATTGAATAATTTATAAAACTAATATTAAAAAATATCAAATATATAATTAAAATATTAATTGCCTTGACTTTCAGTTAATTTTATTATAAAATATTAATAAAATTTATTTATATAAATAAGAAATTTTAATTACATTAAATTACTTTCGTTAGAAAATATTTTTTTCTATAATGAATAATTAATAATAAATTAATAATATAATTAAAAAATTAAAATTAAAATTAAAATTTCAAATATAATTATTATTTAAAAATAAATAAAAATAAGTATTTATAGATAACGCACTTGAAAATTATGTTAATTTAGTTATAAAATTACAAGTATTAAATGTGAAAAGCAAAGAAAGATAATGGGCTATTGGGCTTGAGTCCATTATCCCTCACAGGGCTTTGTGTTGGCCCTATTTAAAATTTCATAAACCCATTCAACGGAATCGTTATTATTTTTACATAATTGCCACTATCCGCCTCACTCTTCATCTGGAGTCGACGGTCGCCGACTTCTTCCGTCCTTCGCCAGAACCACCTTCCTCTTCCTCTTGTTTCCGTCGCTTTTGCAGCTATGGATGACGAAAATTCGAACCCGTTTCGGAGAATGTCGAGCCGTACTCGTAAAGTGGCTCCTAAAATGGCTGCGGCACTTGCCAGCTCTGATAATCGAACTCAGGTTTTTGTTTTCATTTTTTTAAATATCATTTTATTTCTATTTTTGCTTGGGAAATAATTTTTGGGAATTTAATATTTTGCATAAAAAAGGCAGCTTTGGCCCGGCTTGAAGCTTTGGAGAATGATAACGCAGGGATTGAAACAATTGAACCGAACGATGATGATGAAGCTTCTCTTGATGATGATGATCAAGGTTTCCTTCTCCCCCACCCCTTAATTTTATCTCCTTTTCATTTTATGGAAATTTATCTTACTGGGCCAAAAGGGTATTGATCATTTGAAATGAGATACTGATTTTTATGTTAATAACACTCTCACCCTCACATCTCAAACCAAAGATTCAGTCTGAACTCTGAATCTTTTTGGTAGTTGAACTTTTGATTGGTGGGAGTAAGTAATAAGTAATAGGTTACTAATTAGGAAGAACCTTGTTTCTACGATCATAAACCTACCCGAGAAAAGGAAACTATGAATTACTTCCGTCTCAGAGTAAGAATTATGTTGTTCTTGTTAATGTCATGGTATATTAATTAAGAAGAACTTTGTTTCAATGATCATGAACCTACCAGAGAAAAGGAAAATGTGAATTTTATTCTTAGTGCTGTTTTTTGTTTTTTGCTTTTTGCAAGGCCTTAGTACTGTTTTAGAGTGAGAATTGTGTTGTCCTTGTTAATGTCATGGTATATTAATTAGGAAGAACTTTGTTTCAATGGTCATGCACCTACCGGAGAAAAGGAAAATTTGAATTCTTTTCATCTTAGTACTGTATTAGAGTAAGAATTTTGTTGTCCTTGTTAATGTCTTGGTCTATGCATCTATTTGTGGGAGGTTGGTTTTTTTTTTTTTTTTTTCAGATCCTTATGGATATCCATGGTACCTCATACTCATAGATGTAATAGCTTTTCTTCAAAGGGTGTTTCACTAGAAGTTCTAGCATGACTAATCTGCTTGTTTTTTTATTTTTTTCTGCCTTGGTTTTGTTCAGAAACCTTTTGGATCTGTTTCTTATGCTAATTCTTCATTGTGAACTTAGGATTTATTGCTTCAAAGTAGTTGGGCATTATCTAATATGTTTCCCACCATCAAGACCTGCTTTATTCAAGCAATTAATTGAAAGGGCAGTAGTTGTTTGAGGTTGAAAAGGAAATGTAACCATCTTTGAAATTTCTGTTCTAATGCTTGTTTTAGAAAGCTGTTTTATTCATTTAAAACTTCCAACTGCAGCATACATGCAAAAGAGGTCCAAGGGCACAAAACGTAAAACCCGACAGGCAAAAGCACTTGAAAATGCTAGGAAGGCTCCAAGAACATTTCTTGAGCTCTTACATGAGGTGAAATGGGTAAATGCTGTTTCTGATCCTCCTGATTTTATCGCCTCACTTGGCTGACCTAAATAATTCCTCTCTTGAAGGCAAACCTGGAATCCTTGCCTCCTCATGTTCCATCCTATTTGAGGGCAGCAGTTGGACCTCCAAGGTCTACCTCCCGCCGGCATTTCTGCAGTGTTTGTGGATTTACTGCAAACTATACATGCGTGACATGTGGAATGCGCTTTTGTTCAGGCCGTTGCCAAAATATACATAATGATACTCGATGTATGAAATTTGTTGCTTGAGTGATGAGACAGGAACCAGAAAATTTTTGTTTGTATAGCACAACTCATCAAATGCCAAAAAAAAAAGATGTTCTCTGTTGTGTACTGTAATTTTTTTTTCATGTATAATAGTCAAGCAGGCTGTCCCCTACAGATTAGGAAGTCTGGATCAGTTTCATTCTGTCTTTAGTGCACAGGAAATGTGATACAAGGTAGTTGTTGTGTTTGTGGAATAGCTGTTGTGCAATTGTTGGGAGGTTTACTTTCTTAACTATCTTGATGTCATGGCAGAAATTAGGGGCTGAGGTGAATTTGTAGAGGATGTACAGGGTTAGCATGGTATGGAACTTCTGAGATGACCTAATGGCATTGTGGGAGATTTTGTGCTGGTATATCCCTATTAACTTTTGTAAGTGACATAGCCTTGCAAAATCCTTGTAAAAAAGTGAACGATGGTTCTCTATTATGATTAATGCATTATGACATCCTCTTCTTGAAGTGATCAATGGTAGAAGCTTCTGAACAGCTCCTTAAAAAGAGTAGGTTGTTACAATTTTGTGGTTTTCAAAAGCTATATCCCAGCGCCATGCCTATAGAATATTTATGCAAAATAGGCTCGCAGCTCAAACAGTGCTAATTTCATGGAGAACAAGGGCTCATGGTGCAAATAGTTTTCATTGTTCATGAAGGAGGCATCTGTAATTTTAGAAGTAAATTTATTGTGAAGGTATAAAACTAGATACCAGAAGAAGGAAAGAAACTTGTATTATTATAAATGTAATCTGAAATCCCATTCTTTAATCTTAAAAACAATACATTGATAATGTCAAATCAGTTGCTTAGTAATAGTACCATTCAGGACGTAAACCTTTTGACAGAAACAAAGCAGAAAAATCCTGGAAGCCAAATTCAGGTAACATATTGCTGGGGACTCGAGTAAACAGCAGATACTGGAACTCGTGATATTAGATGTTTCTAGCTGGTGATTTTGTCTTTTAACACTGAGGCAGATCGAGTGGTGGAGGCTGTACAGTCTGCAATTTCCCACTCATCTCGACGAGGAAAGCTGTGGCCAAGCCCCAAGGAGATGGTATCTATATGACAATGCAGCAACCAGATTCTGTTTTTGACCAGTTCAGTAAATGGCAAGCATCGAAACATGGAAGCTGTTTAATTTTGAGTTAAAGGAATGTACTTGAATGTAAGTTTGGTATGTTACCAGGATTGTCAGCCACAAAGCGGATGGCCACCCATCCTCCGGGAGGTGCTCCAATGGTGTTTCTCTGTGGGGGATCGATAAGGTTGAATTTGGCCGGATCATTTCTGGGATCAAAATTACCAAAGCCACTTCCAACAACATAGAATTGGTACCCATGAAGATGCATAGGATGATCCTCAACTGTGACAATACTTGTATCCTGAAACACAATTGTACCGTGGAACCAAACTCTAGTTTAAAGAGCTTTGTTGCCTTAACTGGTTGCCAGAGTCCTCGGCTTACATTGCCTGTTCTTGAATTGGAGGACAGCGGAAAGTCTGTGGGAAGATACCAGGTACCTCCGTGTAGTGCCTGCATTAAGGAGTTCCTTATTGGATAACAAAGGATGTTGATGCTGGCAGCAAAGCGAGTTCCATTGCGCTTGACATCGAGGGCTATGATTGGGCAGTTGATTAGTCCAACCCCACTGTGAAAACAGGCTCTCATCAATCTCAATGGGAACTTTGACCTGGGAAGGCATCTTTATCTCGCCGTGAATGCAGTTGCAGTGGCTGTGTCATTGAACCCCGGTAGCTGGGGAAGATTGTTTCACAGGTTGTCCTTTTTTGGCACTGCAAGGGGCGGATTTATATTCAAGTATTGCTGTGTGTGTGTATTGTCGAAGGTGCATTGCGCTGTTGTAGGCATGTGCTGCCATGTAGTAACGAGCTGGGGTGGATCAGCAGTGAGGAGGACATTGGTTGTCTGACAGGAGCTATCATGATGACATTTTTGTGAAAGGTTTGGTGTAAGCAGCATCCACAGCGACAACAGTTAGTTGTGGTTCCACACCAAAGAAAAGTTCTTGATTCATTGCAGAGTTGATGATCCTCAAAAGAATTGTCTCACCCGCCTCCACTGGAAATATGGCAGTTTCTGCATTTTTTTTTTTTGAAAAGTGGAATTTATTGGCCATTAACCGATAAACCATTGATAATCTCGAACTGAGAGACCTCTTATTGGTATGAAAGAAAACCGGTATGACAAGAAAAGTCAGAACAAAAAAGTTCACACACTGCTTACATAACCCAGCAGCATGCCCTCGTTAATCAGAACCTCACAAAAAACTCTATCCTGCATAAGATCAAAAACAGTTTCTGCATTTTTAATGAATAGTTACTATATCATCCGCTCCATGATGTTCCCATTTTGATGGAAAACAGTTCTGATTTCGGCTTTTAAAAGTTTAATACTTTATACTCTGCAGTTCTTATCTTGATTAAGCAATTTGTCGTTTGCAAGGAAGCAAAAATGAGCATTTTGATCAGAGTTAAAAGGTGAAAGCATACCTTTGTTAGAGCATCTATATAAGTCCCCTGGTTGACCATTAATTGTAAATGCGTCTGATACATTTGGAGCAGCTCCTGTGAAAAGTGCCTGCCTTAGAACATCCATTGGATTTCTGTCCCACCATTCTCCTGTTGATCATCATTATAGTTTCATTTAAGTTACGCCATATATTCTGAAAAGATAGCTCTGGGGACTTACAAAGATCAAAGACATAGAATTACCAAGAAGAATGGGAATTTCTTTCTTGGGCATCGGGAAGGGGTATGGAGAACCCAACTTAGGATATATGATGAGAGCTCCATAAACTGTGGCTCTAAGCCATCTGCTATGAGCATGCCACCATAAAGTCCCCTCCTGGTTTTGGATGGTGAACTGGTATGTATAAGACCCCCCTGGTTGGATAGGACACTGAGTCACATACTCAGGCCCATCCGCCCATGGATTTCGCAACTGTCGAATTCCATGCCTAATCAATGAAAGGCAGAAAAATGGCACCATAAATACAAGCAGCAGTGCAGTCTAAGCAAAATCAAAATTTAAGCTTCTGAATTATGCAACGAATTTAGTCTCTACTCTTCGATATTTGCTAGGCTAGTTTGAATTTGTAATGTATAGTTGTATAAAGAATTACCAATGGAGGGTGATATTGTATCTAGCTCTGTTTATAGCTTTGATCACCAGAGTATCACCATCTCGAACTTCCAATGTTGGCCCTGGAAATTGGCCATTCACTGTAATCGTGCTATGAGTTCTGCACAGCCTCTTCACTGGCTTTGCTTCAATCTGTTTTAAGAAAAAAGAAAAAAAAATAGTGTCATACTTCATTGCAACTAACAATCTGGATTAGAATTATGTTTATGAAGAAGACATACAATAAAATCATGGTAGTGAACTGCTGCATCTGCAAAGGATGCTAGGGAAGCAAAGATTAATAGAATGACAAAGAATAAGTATGAGGTGCGTGGCTTGGCACTGAGTTTGTGACTCCCCATTGCTCTCTCTCTGTGAGAGACTTTGGTTGAGGAATTGATCTGTGAGTTTGGACTTGAGGGAGAGCTAGCTATTTATGCCAGGAAAAAGCGGGAAAAAGACAAGCATTTAACTCTTTTTCTTTACATTGAGAAGGAAAATTTGATATGGTAAAATTAGGTTTCAAGTCAACATGAGAAACATTAAGACTTTAGGACAACATTAGTCTAACCATAAAGGGGATTTGGTGCACCCGCTAGCCGCATTCATGTTACAAAACTCAATTAGTAAAGGGAGATTCTGAACTCTCAATTCTCAAATCACATACAGATTATCCTGCTTTTGGGGCAGTTGCAATCTTTTCGTCATAGACTTTCATGCTTATTAACTCAAATCTGTCAATCTTTGCATAGAATTTAGTGCTAAAGGACCCAACAAGAAAATCTATGGTTATGGTCCAATGGTGTTGTTCCCTACTGCACTCTAAACAAAGCTATGGAGGGGTTCTTGGACCAAGATTATCCCTTTCATTTCTTCATATTTTGACACATGCACTCGAATTTTCTTTGAACCAAATTGGAGAGAGTTCAAACTCAGGATTAACTCCGTTTACCATTTTTTGCTGATAGAAAAAACAGTTTGATGCTTTGAAGAGAAAAACTTCTTTCCACACTTCAATATCCTGATGATGATTAGAAATTATAGCATAAGATGTTGTTTAAGTTTTATCTCTGGGTTATTAAATACAGTAAAAGATCAATTGTTAGCTCAACAGTTTGTGATTCTTGTATACAATGTGGACCAAAGCATTTATCTACCTGTCCAATGCTCACTGATTCATTGTCTATGTATATACTTCTTCATCTGCTGTTCCTTTTAAAATATGGGTTTTGATTATTAGTTTGGTTGCTCGATTATGATAGGACAGCTGGGGTGAGGTTGAATTTTGTTTGGGATTTGGTAGAGGAAGGGGAAGAACTGTCATCTCCAGAATTTAGTTGATTTAGTCCCCGTTAAGAACTCCTGACAGAAGCTGCCAGTCCACAGTCCGAAGTCCATGGTTGACAAAATCAATTCTCAGGATGATTTTCCCCATCAGAGGCTAATCTCTAAAAGGTAAATTTGACAAATTGGCTTTGAGTGAACCCACAGTTTTCTTTATAAGCATTTAAAGATCATATCTTCCCATTGAACATGAAGTCATGATGATGAGTGCAGACTTTTTCAATGATAGGCGCTATGGATATCCTGAGATTAATCAACAACATAATAATAACAAGATCAACTTCTTCCAGGTCATGAAGTTTCTGCTGTTTCACACTGCAACAGGAATAATCTCCCCCATGATTAACGTCTGAATCACATAAAAATTGCACAAGAGTTCTGGTTAAACGTGCTAAACGTCTACAGCAACGTAATGGTTGCTGCTTTTTTCAACATGATTGAGATCATGTAAACATCAATCAAGGCAGGAACCGACGTAACAAACCGGGGTTAGGTTTTTTCTTCTGTATTTGGTGATTAATATTGAAATGAAGCAGGTTTTGATAGGTCTACTCCCCGAACTTTTCTATGTAGAACTTGAAAATCAATGGTGCTTAAAACACTTCGCGACAATGCAGATCATAATGAAGTGGGTAGCCTGCCAAACTGACTTCAGATCCAGAAATGAATAAAAAGAAGAATTACTATAATAATTTTTTCTGACGTGCTAAACCCGCACTTCTACGTGTAATCAGATTACTTTGTTTCCGTGCACAATCTATTGGGGCCGTTAGTGTTGGGTCTTTGTCTGAAATCACGGCATTGACAGAATTAACCATTGCTCGTCTCCCTGTTCCCCCTTCTACCAACTTTACTTAGTCATGCATACCAACCGTTACCGAGTAAAACTGACAAGAAATAGGAACAAGACTGATTCAGAAGGGTCATGGTAAGGACGATGTAAGTTGCAACATGGCAATGCTTTGTGTTTTCCTAAATGTTCCCGGATGCAACAAGGCCCGGCAGACAGTTAAAAATAGCATTGCCACTTAGAAATATCAAAGGGGATTGAGCTTCCCGGCAATATTTTTGGGCAAAAGCAGCTGATTGCAAGTCAGATAGAATCATGTTTCCAGTCACCTGTCTGTGTTTATCAACAACCTAAGTAAATCCGAATGGTTCCAACAGAAAAGAACAATTTCGCAAAAGAGGGAAGTATAAAGAAAACTGCAACAGCTTTTCAATTAAGGTGGGAATTATGTGAGTGTTACAATGCCAAAATCTAAACTGAGAAATAAGAATACAGAATTGCATGGTGAAAAGAATTTGAACATAAGAAGAAAAGGGAAGGAATTTATTTAGTGTACACACTCTCCAACAAGAAACCTTACAGAGAATACCAAAACTGTGGAAAGGCCACCTGACATTTATCTAGCATCAAAATCTGCAGAATCATGTAACAGGACTCAACACATGCATTCCTTCAACCTTTTCCTGGGACAGGTACAATGTTGAATCTGCTAACACTTCCGAGGCTAAAGGGAGGAAAAACGATTAGGCCTAACGCCTGCTTTAATGTTTGTGCCACCATAAATCACTCTTCAGACCTGAGCTAGCTGCTGCTTCAAAGCCCGTAATGACTTTATTTTTGATTTACAAATACGACAAAATTCAGAGAGTACTGTACACTGTCCAGTTACTATTTTTCTTGCAACATCAACAGGACTCCAAGACCTTAAAGCTTCGGAGATCCGATTGCCAAGTACTGTCTCATTTGGGGAGGACATCAAAGTCTCCAAAAGATGGAGAACCTGTCCAGGTCCTTCACCCTGTCCATTTCTCTGAAGAGAGGATACTAAATTGTCCATCTTTTTGTCCTCCGGGCTATTGATCTGATCTTGTAACCATTTTGCAACCTCTTCTAATGTGCCACATAAAGACTGAATAGCATCCCGAATTGCATAAGATAATGAAGAGATAGACTGATCCACAGATCCACTCTTCTTTTTCTTCTTTCCAGATGGAAGACACGATCGGACACAAGACTGAATTACAAGGCCATGCCAAGCCAATGGTTCGGTAGCTATCTGGACCAACATAGGAAAATCACCCTGTGGTGAGTGAATCAGAGGCTCCATGGATCTGACCTTCCCCAGAATGTAGTTTTCCAGCAGAGAATTTACAAGATGCCAACCACCATGCATGCATTCACCTCCAAGTTGTTCAAGCTCATGAGAGTTCAAGTTCCACGCATTCAAAAATACGGCAAAGTTCAACCAGTCAATCACATCTGAACCAAAAGCCTGTATAAAACCTAAGAATTAATTTTGCAGTAGGTAATTAAGGTAATATAAAACTTAAGCAGTATAAACATCAATATTGACCAAGCATATGTAGGATAACTGCAATCACCAACCTCTTGCAATATCAATAAAGGCACATAAGCATCTGTTCTACGAGTAAAAGAAGAATGTAGACCAAGATATGCCCAATTGACATCCCTTCAGCATAATGAACACACAAACTAGAGACAACGTGACAATATTCAAATTATCCAATTTTAACTACTTCCTAACATGTATTGACTTCTATGGAACAACATTTAAATCTTTACAACTGTAAGAAAGAAGCATAGCTTCACATTGTCAAGCTCAACAATATTCAGTACATGATCTCATCAACCAGCATATCAAATTGTATAACCAAATAAAAGACCCTGCAACAATTAGAATGCATGAGCATAAATTAACTGAGGATGTAAATACAGAGAGGTACCTGAAAAGGATTCAACCCACGGGAAGCCCCCACAACCACATCTATTGCATCATTTAAGGAAAATCCCAACAGTTTCGCATAACGTTCAAGCAAAGTCCTCAGTTCTGTGGATGTTTTAGGATCAGCTAAAGAACCATTGATTTCACTGTTATCCTTGTGTAAGACTGATGCACTTTGAATAGACAAATATATCATCCGAGGAAGAAGAGACTTCCTCTCGATGGTTCCCCGTACATTTGCTTCCCTTCCCTTTGTCCAGATTTCATCCAGAAAAAGAATCTCAAATTAGTAAACTGATGAGAAAGGCAGAAGATGCAAGGCATAATTGACATGAGAAAACCATGGAAGATAAATTCTTTCTGCAACAAACATTATACAAAAACTACAATACAAGAAACAAGGGGCAGAATTCAGTACCAAGTTTTCTTTAGGATAGTAGGAGATTCCTTCAAATGGACCTGAAGAAGCAAAAGTTTCAAAATGGTTCAAGGCATATCAGAAGGGGAATAGATCAGGGGGCAAAATGGAAGACCACAAAAAAATCTCAAGAAGATAATGCACAGTAAAACATCAGGTATTATCACCTAAAAGATAGTTTTTCTCTGTAGTTGGTGTCCACCAAGGTCGCGACTGGAAATCTTCATTGAAGGTCAGCACTTTTGACCCAATCTCATTAGAGAGCTCTACAAAGTCAATCCCGCATTTCAAGCTCTCAAGAATACTCTAGAAGAAGAAATATTAATGTTAACTTATATGCATACCCCAATACCAAAACAGCATAGGTGTTAATTACTTGAGGATTTCAGATATAGTACCTCTTCTTCTTCAATGTTATCTGCACTCTGCTTTAACTGTAGAATTGGTGCTTCAACCCTTGCCACCAAATATTGATTGGAATGTTGCAACCGGTCTTTGAACTGAACAAATTCTATTACCTGAAATACCAGGTAACAAATAATCCTCAGTTCACATAATCACAACCTAAATCTTGTTCCAGCAATTAATTTATCTTTGTTTTTCCTTTTAGCCTGTAACATCTCCTAGCTACAATCACAAAGCCCAACAGTAAGTTTAACATTATTAGCAAATTTTAGATAATGAACATAGACAGGACAATGAAGCACCAGAATATTCAGATGTGGTTAACATTGAATTAAGCTGCTTCTAAAGGCAGAATCAATAAGGGTAAGTAAATAGGATTTCCTTCATCCTGTAGGCAGTCATTCTTTACTTTACTATATTACTCTTGCAGCAGACGCTATAGTCCATTTTTTTATACATATGTTGTTCTCTATTTCTGATTTAAATAAAACATCAATGACTTAAGTATTTGCACCAAAACACGGACAAACAAGTAGTATCAACTTGAATTATTCCTCAGAGAGAGACTATTGAAAACCCACACCTCTTTGTTTCCCTTTTTTGTCGATAAAAGTGAACAGAGGGGAATAATAATGCAGATGTGAAAGGAATATCTACAAATGTAAATACATACTTTAGAGTAATTTCTATGGCGATATGCGAGAAATGTAAGATCTGCAGATTCTCTGAAGTGATCATCCATAAACTTGAGGTAATCTTTTAGCAGATTGCTTAAATCTGCCCACAGTGGAGACACCAACATCTGGGGTAAAATGTGATGTGAAACAGTTTCCATCAAGATATTCTTCACATCCAATGATTTATACCTGAGAGAGAGAAAAAGAGTAAATTGTTACCTAGAGAAGAGGATGACATGCATTTAGAGTAACTAGCAAACATGTCAGAAAAGTGATTGGCATTGTTGACCGTTAAGACAAAAATAATGCTTTTCAGTATTAACCACATAATCCCACTTACCTTTCATACGCCAATGAAAGGGCACAGAAGTGTGAATACAAATGCAACAATAAGATTTTGTATTGCCACACATATCTGCCAAAGTGAGCACAAAGACAGATGTTATCTACAAGAATAAGAATCTCACTAGCAAAGCAAAGAGCTTTTAAAACAGAAAGTGGAAAATTTTAGCCAAACTTTAATTTTAATGCCATAAACATGATCAAGCAGCCACCACACATGGCCATCTGATCAACCAACATTAATTTCTAGAACAAGTCAGTCAAATGAAGCAAACAGTGATTTCAATTCAAATTAATTATTCATTAGATGCTGCAATGCCAAGGGAGAAAATAAAACATTTCCTGACCTTCGAATGGTTAACCCGAACTCCAAAACCATAACCGCCTCAACAAAATAGCCAAGATTTCTCGTGCGCCAAAATAACTAAATCCAAAAGGAAATTTGTAGACATGAATGTTAATCTTAATAGATACAAATAAGTAGTTGCCAGAACAAGAAAAGAATCTCAATAACTCGTTGAGTAAAATCATGTGCAGCAAAATCCAGAAGTAAAAACAACATGACATAATGGACCTACATGCACTCACAAAGAAAAATGTACATTCTTCTCTCCACTCATGCAGATATTAGCAAGATGAGGAAACAGAGATATAATTCTTGCCAGCTGATTAGAGTTCATACTGAGGTAACTCCAACTGAAAGACAGTATCTAAGAGAGCATAGCTCTTCAGCCCTTTAAGGAATGATATAATTATGACATCACATTGGCACTGAGGTCCACCCCAGATACCCACAGATTACAACAACAGCCACTTATCCGCTATCTCTTTAAAGGTAATTTTATCTTAGCCAATTTCTATTAAATTTTTAACCATTGTTATTGGGAAAGTAATCTCATCCAATGGAACATTATGCTCCATCCCTCTTTCCCTGGTATCTTATATAATGAAAGTACTAAATTTCTCCTCAAATGGTAAACATATCAAACTTATTTCAATTTATCTAGTTTATCTCTATATTATAGTGCAAAACCAATGTAGCAAAACAGCTGTCAAAATTGCACACTGCAACAAAGTTGATAGCAAGCAAACCAATAGACTTTTCCTAATGAGACAAAGCAACCTAAATCAGTCATAACATAACCTACATAATGCACGCTCATCATCACTCCAAGTTGTTGCTTAGGTGGAAACTGTCGATGTTCCACAAAAACATGAATCAAATGTATAATATAAGCCACAACCTTAATAGTGAAAACACAAATAGTATAATACCAAGAAGGAAGAAATACAAACTACAGTTTAACAAAACATTTGAAGGAACAAAAGAAAGTTGCAGACGTGAATAGTGAAAAAAAGAAAGAAAATAAAGAATGTGCCACCTGAACCAATACATTGCAGACAATTGATAGCAGCTCTTCACCATGCATACTCTCTTGTGGATCCAAATCCTTGGACAGTGGAAGGTTTTTACAGTACAACTCGGCCATTTGTAGAGCAGAGGCTTCAAGTTCTGAGAATGAAGAGCTGAGTTCTATAACAGGTCTTTAATTGAATCAATAGCCCAATAGTAGAACAAACTAAAGGTAAAGCCATGCAATACACCATTACTCAATCCCCTTAAGGCACTAAATAAATGATGAGACTCACCACCCACAGAAAGCCTGAACATGTTTCCAATCAGTTCTTGTGTTTTCAAAAGAGTTATTGACTGCCCTAGCGCTTTAGTTGGCACTGCTGAAAGGGCATTCGAGTTTTTCATTAACTTATCCAGAAACTCCATCTTTTTTTCTGGTGATAATACTTGAATAAAAGCTTCAACATCAGAGGTGAAGCAAGCCAAGTGACCAAACCTGTACTCAGCAACAAAAAGCTCTATATATTATTAATAAAAAGTCATCATGTGTATTTTTCTTCTTCAAAGAACTGAAGGTGTAATAAAATGCAAACAGCACAAAATTTACAGCATCGTGAAACATAGCATTTACTACAAATAATTTCTGCAACGACAAACTTAATCAAACAGAAGTCAATGAGAGCACAAGAAACATGCCTGGTAGCAAGTTAATACATTCACAAGTATATCAAAATCAATAAAAACCAAATTGAAAAGCAACCCATCAGCCGGAAATAGACGTTGCATGAACAGACCACAATAGTATCCCAAAGTTCCGCTTAAATAATTCACCAGATACATAAAAGACTAACCTGTTCGCAACAATTCACTAAAAAACTTAAGAAAAATAATTGAAGGCTGAGGCATACCTTGAATAATATTGCAAAAGACCTTCTATAAGATCATCATGATTGTTCTTTCCAAACAGGTATTTCCTCCTTTCAATTTCAAGATGTGCCAAGTATGGATTTCTTAAAGAATTACTACTTTCTTCTCCTTGTAACTTCTGTACAAATGCTGATGCATTTGATACACAAGAATCAAACTGCAGATTGGACCAAATCGAATTTTCAATAATATAATGTTGCATAGCGCTGCATTAAAATAACTAACAAGTAATACTCAAAAGTTATTAATAATATACCACTTCATCTGTCAAGTGTGTAAGCTTGCATTCCACAAATTTTGTGGGATGAATTGGAGCATTGATGTTTTCTTTGGACCAACTGCTATCATCCTCTAATAAACAGCCAAGATAGTGTAGGAAAGCCTCCCAATCATCAGCACTGTCAGTTAACAAGAAAAGGAAAGAAAAAAACGACCAACTGTTAGAAATGGTATGTTCAGAAGTAATAGTTCAACAATGCTCAAAACTTTGAAAATGCAATTCAGAATCTTAAAAGCGCCAATCCTCAGTGAATGCTAGTACATATTATTTGAGAGTCGAGCAAAATATTTCTCATGAATGATAAGATTGAAATGCAAGAGGCTAGATGAGGAGAAATACTTATTCAAAATTTCAGTGCTAGGAACATTAAGTTGGATGGAACATGATTCCAAGCAACAAGTATAAAGAGCAGATACAAACACAATAGAAGCATGCAAGGCCCATGCACATTTTCTACTACAGGGAAATTAGAAAACAAATACGATGCCTATGTTTAGATTTATTTGAATTCTCCAAACAGTAAAATAGTTTGCATCATAAGCAGACCATACAATTTGTAATTTTCAATTCAGTAATACTCACATGCATGATATTGTAAAGCAGCAGGTAGAAGATATGAGTTGCAAAGGTGAATACAGCAAATTCTGAATTTATTGATTAAGTAAAATCCAAACAAATGCTACTTCAGCACATGTTATTAAGCTGCCATAGATACTAATCCAAACTTTTGCTATAAATTTCTGTAACATCCATGAGCATACCATAATTCTAAGATTTTCTGGTATACATTGGCGGCAGCAGCATAGTCACCTGCCCGAGCAAGAAGCTTCCCCTGTCAACTTAAAGTCAAAGAATATAATTTGATAAGAAAAGCAAAGAGGTAGAACGACAACTCCCCATGAAAATAGAGTGCCACCTTACACATCAAAATGAAAATTAAACTAATTGATCATAGTGAGGAATTCCAGGTAATTTCCATCTATGTCCAGGATACATAACCACATGCATTTTGAATAGGTGGTGTGAATGCACACAAGATATTCACATATTAACATTTATATACTATTAACAAGTAGGAAATATAAGCGTCAGAAATTACCTGTATCCGTAGCTTATCAACTTCAATCATCAAAAGGGATCCTAACTTCCCCGTGAGAATTTCCAAAGCATCACCAAATTTTGCTTGTTGCTCCAATATTGAAATGTAGACAATAAGAGCTGCAAAGATGTAGGATTGGATATCATATGTAAATGTGAACACCAGAGCCGCTCTCCAGGTTGCATGCAAAGAAAAGAGATAGAAAAGGAAATGCACCTTCAGGCTCATGCAAGCTATGGGAAGCAACATGCTTCTTAAGTAAACCCTCGGCTAAGAGTAACAGCTTCTCTCCACCATTTCCACAAAGAACCTGACAGAAGCTCAGACCCACAGAGTAAGCAGTTGAAGGAGACATATTCTAAATTAAAAGTAATTAGTAATTTTCCTTGAAACCAATGACAAAAACATCTATATCATGCTTGTAGAGAACATTTCAGTATAATGTTCCACGAGACAATCAAGCAGATTACTAAGTCCCTCCAAAAACAGGATAAAATACAAGTCTGCATTGCAGGCAATTAGTTACGTGAAACCTTTTCAATTATGCCAAGAACACCATCAAGGCAATAACAACACTTCTATTAATATTAAATATAAATTAATAGATACATGAAAAAAGGCAACAGTTTTTTACATCTATTTCCTATGAACCTGTCTTGCTACAGTTTTTTTGCTGGACAAGGGAAAAAAAAAGAAAAGAAACAAGGGCATGTTATAAACTATAGATGTCTTCAGAAGAACTTAATCAACAATCTTATATTTTTCTTCAGACAAGTTGTATGGTCAATAGCACAGATACGTTTTTTTTAATGCACCTAGACAAACTTATCAGGGGAATTGAAATTTGAATTCAAACTGAAGATAACAGCATTTTCTTAAAACTTTTGTAAACAAACAAATAAAAGCCAGCAGCTTTTTGAAGCTCAATTCCACCTTAGCACTGTCAGTACATATTTTATACTTCTCAAAAGCCTAGATCAATGCTATATATTTCATAGCGGCTGGTGTCTCAAGAGGAGAACCTCGTTGCCCTACACTGATACCGTTCTTAACATCCCCTTTATAGAAATGACTGCAACATTTTCAAACCTGAAACCAGATCAGACAGTTGAGCAGCCGCAACCATCAACAGATTCGATCTCGGGTTTGGAGACAGCCAGTTTTGGAGCAACCCAACTGCATATCAAATATTTCTTAAAGATAGTTTTATTCGAAAATAAGCTCTATTTAAAACATTTTGAATTGATTAGATTATTTTCTGTGTTTTTATTTTTCGCATGTTTAGTCATGGGCATGCCTAGCATAAATACTGTGCAAAACTTCAGTCCTGACCAACCAAGAAGAAATGTTAGTTTTTGCATTCAATTCCATAAATTGGAAAGTCATCTTCCACCGTAAGTTGTTAGTTCTAATGTGCCTGTTTGTTACAACTTCCATTCTATTTATGGAGAACACACTAACATCAAATCATTATTGTTACAACCACGACAACTACCAAACAATGGCATGTTCAACAAATTGGCAAAGAAGCAGCTAGGAAAACTGGAAGAACCTGCAACTGGATGCTACAAACTGCCCAGAGCAAAAACCTTTCCTCACCAACAAGCTTGTACATTTTGATAGCTGTCTGGCAGAAAATAAAACCAGAATAAGTAACTCCAATTATGAACTTCTCCTCATAAAAACGGCTGCCCTGAAATTCCCATCAACTTAAAAACAAATAAAAGACCCAAAAAAAAAAATCGCTAACCTGTTGCTGCTTAACAAACGAATACTCTCGAACATAACAGTTGAAAAGGCCCATCATCAGTTCCAAATTGTTTGGGAATTTCCCACAAGCATGCTCGTAACAGCTAGTAGCCAACTCCACTGATAATTCAACCAAAAAAAATATAATAAAAAACTAAAATAAAGTAATGGTTCAATCAGCTGAGCCAAAAAAGAAAAGAAAAGAAAAACTGACAGTGATCGAGTCGTTGGAAAACGATTTGCAGCGTGCTAAGAGTGAGATCATCCATCAACAAGGACTCATTCTTATACAAAAGCTCTTTTGCATTTAAACAAACAAATAGTGCTTCATCGGATTTTCCCATCCTTTCCAATATCAGTGCCTTGAGAGCCTGCAAAACTCAAAATTCAAACTATCTAAGCAAAAAGTTCACACTGAAAAGAAAGAAAGAATTGCTTAAAATCAAATGATGAGCTTACGAGAGCGTAAGGAGAATGGGGATGTTTGGAAAGGAGAGTGGTAGTGATTTTGAGAGCATTTTTGAACTGTCGAGAATCGATGGCGTCCCAAATGGGTCGAACCCGCCGCTCCGGGATTCCGCCAGCTAAGCCGAACTTGGAAGCCATTTTCCTGGTTAAACTCCCGGGGGTTCGAGTCTCAGGATCGGTTATCTCTCTTTCTGACCCCTGTTCCTGGTCTTTGTCAGCACAGCAGGGAAGCAAGGAAGTAGAGGGAAATGTGGGAAACCTAATCCGAGTGTTTGGATGCTAGTTTAAATGTTGGGTCTCCTCCACATCACTTGCTTTGGGTTTAAGCCTTGTGTTTTGGACTCCTCCCTTTTCTGTTTCCCATCGGCCGTTCAGGTTAGACCCACCCAAGTTTCACTTTATCTCTTTTTCCCCTTCTTAATTAAATTTCTCATTTTTTATTATACTAAATAAATTCTTAATTTAACCTAAAATAAACATCGATTACATTTAATACCAACTGATATTTTTATGTACACGTAATATATAATTTGAATTTGACTAGTTAACATGACCACATAACATTAGGAGAGAAACTAACGTCAATAAACTAATAGTTTATCAAGAGAATAATGAAAAGATAAAGCAAGAAGAGTTTTCCTTTTAACTTATAATCCCGGTTCTAACCGCCGATTGTCTCAAAGAAAAATGTAGCTGATTTTTTACTTAATTTTTAATCTCAATCTAATGTAAAATTAATAATAGTTAAAATCAATATCGATTGATATGCTTATGCTCATGTAATATAGATTTGATTAATTAATACGATTATGTGACAGCTACATTTTACTATATTAGTAGTTCATAATGGGAAGTATGGAAAGATAAAATGTGTGGAGCTTTTAGCCTTAGTTTGTAATCCTCGTTTTATCCGATGATTGCTTAAAAAATTTAATTTGTTTTCCATTATTAATTAATATTTATATACTCACATAACACATGATTTAATTAATTAACGTAATTGAGTGACATTAGGAGGGAAATTAATATTAATAAATTAATAATTCTTTAAAAGAATAGTGGGAAGACAAAATGAAAAGAACTTTTAGTCTTAGTTTTATCTTATGATTGTTTAAAAAAATATAATTTATTTTTTGTTATCAATTGATATTTGTATACTCATGTAACACATGATTTAAGTAGTTAATATGACCGTGCCACATTACTAGGGAAACTAATGCTCATGAGCCGGTAGTTCGTCTAAAGAAGTTTTAGTTTCCATTCTATCCCGTGATTGAATAAAAGAAGCTTAGTGTTTTCACTTGGCTTCTAAGCTGATCTTACCTGGCTCATAGTTTCGGATGAAATAATCAAGTATGGACGTTTCTAGCAAAAACAAACAGTCAACAGTTTTGATCTATTAATTACACCCAAATCAAGCAAAGAATGGAACAATGTGAACGCGATAACGATGTATTTGTTGTAATAATATAATGCTATCGGATGCATGGTATAATTGCAAAAAGATCCAACGAAGGCTACAAAGTCCAAATCCGTTCCAAAAACCCGAGACCAGGCCCACCAACTCTTGGAAATATCAAAAACCCGACGAAAAACAAACAAAAATGGGGAATCCGGTTTTCGTTTCGTTTCTCGTTCCTGTGGTACTTTATCCACAGCTTTTTCTATTTACAATTTTGTCCATGCGCCCGACGCTCAAGCCACGTGCAACATTTCCTTCGATCTTCTTCTTCTTCTTCTCAAACGGCGTGGTGCGCAGCCCTGTTCGGGTTAAACCACCGTCGGAAATAGCAAAAACCCTAATGCCCAATCTTAGATTAGCATATTGAGAGTTTCTTTTGTTTTGTATCTTGTTTTTGGCTCTGGAGATTTTGTTTTAATAAGGAAGATGATGGGCTCTGAGAACCAGGGCTTCGAAGAAGCTCACCTTTTCGCTTCCCGTGAAGAAATGGAGAATCTGGTTCTTGACGAGCCACTCAGCAACCACAGCAACAGCAACAACAACCACCAGAACAATAATTCCTACTCGAGTTATCGGAGCGCCACGTCGTCGCTCTCCGACACGACGCACCACCCGCTGTCCCCGCCGATCCTCGCGACTCCGGCCGACTCCGATCCCTTGCTCTCCCCTCCGCTCTGTCGTAACCCGAACGCATCTGATAACAACTCCTACATCGAGCCTCCTTCGTACGCTGACGTCATCTTTAGTCCTTTCGATGAGAACTCAGTCAACGAAATCAACGGCCTCGAATCGACTTCTCAGAATCCAGAATCTTCGTTGACGCTCTCCAGATCGCCATCGTTCAGCTCAGATTACATCAAGATTACGGTTTCCAACCCCAAGAAAGAGCAAGAAACCACTAATTCAATTGTGCCGGGAGGTAATGCTTATTTCACTTACTTAATTACGACGAGAACGAATATTCCTGAATTTGGAGGATCCGAATTTAGTGTCAGGAGAAGGTTTAAAGATGTAGTCACGTTATCGGATCGGTTAGCGGAATCTTACCGTGGATTTTTTATTCCGCCGAGGCCGGATAAAAATGTGGTGGAATCTCAGGTGATGCAGAAGCAAGAATTCGTGGAGCAAAGAAGGGTTGCATTGGAGAAATATTTGAGGAGGCTGGCGGAGCATCCTGTGATAAGACTAAGTGATGAATTGAAGGTGTTTTTGCAGGTGGAAGGGAGGCTTCCATTGGTTACAAGCACTGATGTGGCTTCACGGATGCTTGATGGCGCCGTGAAGTTACCGAAGCAGTTGTTTGGGGAAACTACCGCGGCGGTGGCACCACATGAGGTGGTGCAGCCTGCCAAAGGTGGTATGGATTTGTTGCGGTTGTTTAAGGAATTGAAACAGTCTGTTGCAAATGATTGGGGTGGTTCAAAACCGCCCGTGGTAGAGGAGGATAAGGTGTTTATGGAGAAGAAAGAGTGGATTCATGATCTTGAGCAGCAACTCAGCAATGCTTCTCAGCAGGTAATTTTGCTGGTTTTTCATGAGTTTGACATCTGCATTTGAATCTTGTGGGATAAAGTTTTTGATAATGGTTTGTTTTGGGTATGTTGATTTTCTTTAAGGCTGAGGCACTTGTTAAAGCACAGCAAGATATGGGAGAGACAATGGGAGAATTAGGATTGGCATTTATTAAGCTGACGAAGTTTGAGAATGAGGAGGGTAGGTTCAATTCGCAAAAAGTAAGGGCTGCTGACATGAAGTGTTTGGCAACTGCTGCAGTGAAAGCTAGCAGATTTTATCGAGAATTGAATGCACAGACTGTCAAGCATTTGGTAACGTGCAAGTCTTTACCTCATTTTTTTCTTTGAACTTAAAACATGGGGTTGAGATGTCTACAAGTATTCATTTGTTGGAACAATTTATTTTGAACAAGCATACGAGTTTGCAAATGTTAAATCTCTAGTAATGAGTAAGCTTGACGATTGACAACTATAAAAGGTCTGAAGCTATGTTGAATGGCTGGCTTGCCTATTACCTGAGAAACTAATACTTGTTGTTAGTGCATGCATCAATCTAAGTTAAGGAATTATGCCGGTTGCAGAGAAATTAATTGAGGTTTCTATGTTTGAAAAGAGAAGTTTGCAATTTTTTATAATGCACATTCTTTTTGTGCACTTCAGGATACACTTCATGAATATCTTGGGCTTATGTTAGCTGTGCACAGTGCATTTTCGGATCGATCAAGTGCTTTATTGACGGTGCAAACTCTCCTATCAGAGCTATCTGCGTCGCATTCAAAGGCTGAAAAACTCGAAGCTGCGTCATCAAAAATATTTGGTGGTGACAAATCAAGGATACGCAAGATAGAGGAGTTGAAAGAAAGTATAAGGGTTACTGAAAATGCTAAAAATGCTGCCATAAGCGAATATGAGCGGATCAAGGTAGTAATTTTCATAATTTCTATTATATTTATCTGAATTTGAGAATAATTTTCCCCTTTCTTTTGATATGTTGAATTTTTCCCACTGTTTTGATATTGATATTTGTGTGTGTGTGTGTGTGTGATGCTATGATAATAAGCACGCCTACTCGTAAAACAGTTCTCAAGTGATGGCCTTCTTTTAATCTTAACTAAAGCTACTAACACAGGATGTGAACGAGCAACTGAAGATGTGATAGGATCACCTTAAAAGGAAAATAATAGTATTAGTAAACTATATTACTAGCCATGCAATAGCCCTCACCACCAGTTCTCTCTCTCTCTTTCTCTCCTCTTTTTCATGTTGTAAAGTAGCAGAGAAGAGGGATGCACTGCTACACGCAGTTCATATGCATTACAAAGATGCTTATATTGTTGCGAGCTGTGTCTATTGCATTTGCGAGTACATGGTCTGCATTGTTATGGTTATCTTGATCATTTTTTAAGTTGGTTTCACGGTGATGTAATTACAGGAAAACAACAGGTTTGAGCTTGAGAGGTTTGACAAAGAAAGACACACTGACTTCTTCAACATGTTGAAGGGCTTTGTTGTTAATCAGGTAATTATGACCTTTGTTTTCCTGTCCATGTTGGATGATTCATTGTGTGAAAGAAGGTCTGATTAACTTGGTTCGAGTGATACTGCAGCGGAGTATCCATTCTTAAACTTGTTTGATTGAAATTGCAGCATCCTGTACCTTAAATTTATATGGTAAAACTTGTGTGTCTCTGTTGAGAGCTTCATTACTCATTGAATTTGGAGTTTCATTACTCACTGAACTATTATCCAATCAAGTCTGTTTTCTATTTCCTTGGCTTTATAGACCAATTCAGTTGATTTGCTTTGAGAAGTATTGGATGTAAGCTCTAGTTACTCTTCAGCAAAAAGATGGTCCCATACCTCTTTATGTTTTACTTCATTGATCAGTGGGCTTTCTTCCTGCCCCCTCCTGCAAGAGGCCCTTGTGGATTGTGTTTGATTTTGTTCTCAAACAGGAATGTGAACCATTTTAATCTTTCCCTGTTTCTACTTGCCTATGGGCTGTGTGCCACTTTCCACTTGTTACCACCTACTTCCCGATCCTTTTAGCATCAGCTGAACTCTTTTTCTTTCCCCCCCACCTCCCCTCCCCACCTAAAAAAAGCTTGTGCATGGAATTTGGAAAAGGCCAGTGATTCCTGCTCTTAATACAATGCATAGAATGGAGTTGAATCTTTCAACATATTACATTTATGCGTTCAACATCTTTTGTTTTCTTAGCTCTTGTTTCTTGTGAAAATGTAACAGGTGGGATATGCTGAGAAAATTTCAAATGTGTGGGCAAAGGTTGCAGAGGAGACCAGTGGATATGCAAGGGATAGCTCTTAAATGTTTGGATGTATATTCAAACCCTCGGCCTTCACTTTCTCTTTTCTTTTAATATTTTTGTTATTGTCCCTACGTAGGAGATAGTTTTACATTCATAATAATGAAGAAAATGGAGCACTTTTGGTTAGTTTTTTATTTTACTTCTTAGGGTATTATTTTGACCTTTCCCTTCCCCTCTACAAGTTGTATCTCTGAGAAAGCTTGTTACACGTCTGCCGAACTTGCATTTGGTTTCTGTAAATTGTTTATTGCTTGCTTGATATCCTGGCCCTGTGATTATAATTTCCTGTTTTCTTAAATCTTTCTTGAGCTTCCTTGGATCATTATCACCATCCAGTGCTTTGGGATTTTGCAAACTCACACCGTTTTCGTTCATTCTAGTTGAATATTACTTCATACAATTCTCAATGAAAGACCAAAAAAGAAAAAAACACAAACCAAAGCAAAAAATCCAGGTTACAAGAAAATCTGAATCATTGATCTACGATCCTGATTCCTAGAAAGAACATGATGAATGAATCACATAATAGAGAAGCATCCCATCACGAATCCGACCCCATGAATTTGATTGCTCAAACACTCGAGATAATAGCGGGAGCAGCGGCAGCGGCGGCGGCAGATGAAGCAGCGCCACTTACAAATGAGAACAACCCAGAACCCAGCGGCTCTTGTTCATCGAGAAACAGATCCTCCGGCATCCTAAAGGCACCGTGCGCACACACAATCCCCAGTCCCATCAGGATTCCCGATATCAACAAAGATCCCACGCTCGTCAAGAATATCACTATTACGGTTGACGCCACCAATATTGCCAGCGTTTCTATGTCCGAGTACGTTCGGCCCCATATAACCACCGGCTGATCCGACGGCCGCAGTGCGTAGAGGAAAAGCCACGCCGAGAGCAGTGACAGCAGGATTACGAGCGAGAAAGGGTGGGAGATGAGTGAGAATGCGAGCACACCCGCGAGTATGGTGAGGTAGTTGGCTCGGAAGTAGGAGAAATTCTTGCGTACCCGCGAGGTGGCATCGGAAAAGGAGGCCGGTTTAGTGAATGCTGTACGGTCGACGAGCTCCGTCCAGGGACGGCAGCGAGAGAGAGCCAGACGGGCACAGCCCGAGAGGCGCGCGAGGATGGAGTGGAGGTTCGGGGTCGTGGCAGACTGTTTAGATTCAACATTGGGCTCTGAAGTTGACACTGGGAGCATTGGAGTGGCAGACATTGCCGGAAATGTGAGATCAAAGAGAAATCCAGAGAAATCTGAAAACTTGGAAGATAATTCGTTTTGATTTCGTTTTGACCCAAAGGCAGTTGAGATTTGAGAAGCGTATATAAACTGTTTGAAGTATATTTTGGAGGGCCTGAAGCCGCTGATGATGGGATGAACGCTTCTGATTGAGGTTTTTTCCAAACGCAGAGATCCCTTTTGGCTTGCATTATCAGGTTGAGAAACGAAAGAAACGAGGAGGAAGCACGAGGGGTAGCCGCATCTTTCAAGTAAATGGCTTTCTTTTTCGTAATTTAATGTTTGGACTACGATCTTTCTAAATAGAGAAAGAACCCAAGAAGGAGAAGAAGAGGCCCAATGAAAAAGGCCGGGTCTAAACCCAATAGGCCCAACAGATATAAAAATTCGATTAACAGCAAAGCCCATTGGGCCTGAAGGTAATCTTTTGGATAGTCCTTAGGAGTCAGCACAACTTAAAACTCACGTTATAAAATTATGGTGTAGCGAATGTGAGAGAGAAGTTGTCAACAGAGACTTTACAATCAATTCAATTTATTACGGTAGTTGGAACGAAATAACTACGACCCTAGACTTTTTTAAGCACTTTCCTCCTTTTTTCGAATAGGATCTCTTAACACTCTAGGAAAATGATACAAAATTAAACGAGTTTAGTATTTAGAGTTATCATGTTTTGTATCTCAAATATGTTTTAACATATTTAAGACATGATGAGTTAAACTCATTCACTTGCATATGACATGTTGAACTTGTTTATCAATTTCTGTGATATAAGATGTTTAACTCATATATGGTTTTTATTTAAACAAATTAATTATGCTAATCGTATTTAAATATGTTTGTTATATCATGTTTAATTATTTTTACGTAAAATTTACTTCAATTTATTTAATAAATATATTAATCATATCATGTAATACGTGAAATAAATATACTTTTAGATGTGTTTATAATTTGAATTTATTTAATAATTATGTGGCATATACTTACATAACTATTAATATCCTCCTTAAATTTATTTTTTTTTCTTTCATATTCGGAGAAACAGAAGGAAGCAAAAGACCAAATTGTGCTTCTTACCAACATAAACCAAAACCTATAGGTTAGGTCATTGAATATTCACTAGTCTTTATTTTTGTTTTTATTTTTTATGTAAGGAGTGAATTTGAATGTCTAGAATCAAGGAAAACAACCTTATTTTCCGAACTTGATTCTACTATTTCTAAATTAGACACTTACCAACTAAATCACAACTCCTAATCTATTTGGTTTGATTAACATTTTCTAATTGGTTCAAGGGAGAACAAAAAGGCTACCAAGAGCAAGAGTGAGAGTAGGACAAGAGTTATCCAGTTCATTGGTGGAAAGACAAACATAAAGACTATCTTGTCCGAATCCAACAAAACACCCCACTTCACTCGCTCTTATACCAAATCAAACGGATTCGGAAATGTCCAAAACCCAATGATCTCGCAATGTTTACCATAACTACCAATCTCCCTTTATTTCTTTCCTCGCTTTATCTGCTTTTTTCAAACCGCGTTTCCCAAGGTCTTTTCCGTCATATCACTTTCACTCGCCCTCCATTCCCTCTCAAAACCCAGCCCTGCTCTCTTCTCTTCCTACGCCTCTTCTTCTGCTCTCCTTTCCTTTCCCTTCCCTTCCCTTCCCTTCAAGTTTTTACTAACCCAAAACGCGGCTGGGTATTACGTTTTTGATGAACTAAGAGTAGAGCTGTAGAAGCAGAGTTTAAGAGAGAAGAAGAAAGAGAGCAAAAAAGGGGTTGCTGTTTTTTTTTTTTTATTTGATGGCGGAGAACGGTGAAGAGAAGCTGTTGGCGGTGGCGAGGCATATAGCCAAGACGCTGGGGCAGAACGATACCATGGCGGACGATATTTTGCAGATCTTTTCCAACTTCGACGGGAGGTTTTCTCGCGAGAAGTTGTCTGAGAAAATGGGTGACGACGACCCCCGTGGTTGCGCCACGCTGGAGCGGACCCTCAATTCTTTGGACCGTCAGATCTCCCAATACGTGGCGGCTGATCATCCCATCTGGGCTGACACAGCTGATTCCTCCGCCTTCCTTGACGCTATTGACGAGTTGATTGGCATGATCAGGGACTGGAGCGCCATGGCCGCTGAGAAATCCGTCGGCGCGTGTCTTGTACGAGCTGACGACTTGATGCAGCAGGCCATGTTCCGCGTCGAGGATGAGTTCAGGTCTCTGATGGAGCGAGGCGCTGAGTCGTTTGAACTGCGTCGGAACAACCACGAGTCAACAGGAAACTTATTGACCGATTCAGACGACGAAAATGAAGAGAACGAAGAAGGAATTCTTCACAACGGTGCGGATCTCGATGACCAGATCCCCTTAGCTCAGCCGTTAACGGACTACGACATCGTAATCGACGCGCTCCCGTCGGGAACCATCAACGACCTCCACGAGATCGCCAAGCGCATGGTGGCCGCAGGGTTCGGAAAAGAATGCTCTCACGTGTACAGCACGTGCCGAAGAGAGTTCCTTGAAGAGAGCATCTCAAGGCTTGGGTTGCAAAAGCTGAGCATTGACGAAGTCCAGAAAATGCCCTGGCAAGAGCTCGAAGACGAGATTGAACGCTGGATCAAAGCCGCAAACGTCGCGCTTCGCATCCTCTTCCCGAGCGAACGCCGCTTATGCGATCGCGTCTTTTTCGGATTCTCCTCCGCAGCTGATCTTTCCTTCATGGAAGTCTGCCGTGGCTCCACCATTCAGTTACTTAATTTCGCTGACGCCGTTGCTATCGGGAGCCGGTCACCGGAGAGACTTTTCAAAGTTCTCGACGTGTTCGAGACTTTGCGTGACTTGATGCCTGAATTTGATTCCGTGTTCTCGGATCAGTACTGTTTGGTTCTTAGAAACGAAGCCGTTACCATTTGGAAGAGAGTAGGAGAAGCAATCAGAGGGATATTCATGGAATTAGAGAATTTGATTCGGCGGGACCCTGCTAAGGCGGCTGTTCCTGGTGGCGGACTTCACCCAATCACACGTTACGTAATGAATTATCTCCGGGCGGCGTGTCGTTCACGACAGACGTTGGAACAAGTTTTTGACGAAAGTAATGTGGTTGTTCCATCAAATAAGCTTGACGATAGAGGGTCATCTTCGTCTTCTATGTCGGTTCAGATGGCGTGGATTATGGAGCTTTTGGAGAGTAATTTGGAGGCGAAGTCCAAGATTTACAGGGACTCTGCTTTGTGCTCTGTTTTCATGATGAATAATGGAAGATATATCGTAAAAAAAGTGAAGGATAGTGAGTTGGGCTCACTTCTGGGTGATGATTGGATCCGAAAACACAATGCAAAAGTCCGGCAATACTGTACGAATTATCAGAGGAGTTCGTGGAATAAGATTTTGGGAACACTAAAGCTTGACAACACCTCCTTGGCTTCGAATGCGGTTGCCAAGTCCATGAAGGAGAAGATCAAGTCTTTCAATTCGCAATTTGAGGAGGTATGCAAAACTCAGTCTACATGGGTTGTATTCGATGAGCAGCTGAGAGAAGAGTTGAGGATTTCAGTGTCTAGACTTTTGCTACCAGCCTATAGAAACTTCATTGGGAGGTTCCAATGTATTCCTGAAATCGGGAGGAATGCTGACAGGCTTATCAGGCACGGGCCGGAGGATATCGAGGCTAGGATTAGTGACTTGTTTGAGGGAGGCAGTGGATCATCCGGTGGCAGAAAGTAGAAGGTAAGCTGCAGCTAGTGCAAGTTGAAGGATTCTTTTTGTGTTTGTGTGGATGGTAGTCTAAACTGATTTGCCAATCTGGCGCTAGGTGTTTGGTATGTATTTAGCACAAATTTTCCTCTTCTATTTGTGAATTAAAAAATCATGGATAGACAGTCTGCTTGTGTTAATCAGAAGATATTCTGGTTTCGAGGTGAGTTATAATGTTGCAGTGCTTTCTTCAAATCCTGTATATAGCAAACTATCATATGAGGAATTCTTATTCTTGTTTTACAGGTATCTTTCTTATGGTTGTACTATTTTCTAAACTGCTACTGCTTTAGAAGAGCTAGAATGAAATAATGAAATCTCCTAGTTTCATAGTTACTTGGATGGACATTCGGATAGAGAAACTATATGACTTACACATCTAATATCAAATTGTACAAGCTCATATCCGTAAGTGTTGTTTTCTTAGGTAGCAACACCAAAGGAGAATGCCATTTGGGCCATGGATAACTTTCAGGAATTGTGAAAATCCTGTTCATGCTTCTATATGGTAGATGCGACTACTTGACAATAAATTAAAGTTTTGAGATTGACCATTTTCTTTTGCGCCTTTCGTGATCATACTTGGATGGTCCTAACACAGGAATGATTTCTTCTCGGAAAATTAGCATATTATCCCATTGGAAGAAGAGTGAATCCCTTCGTCTGTCTTCATCCATATATTTTATTCTTCCTATCTGGCTGTATCAACTTAGGAATATCTATATGGTGCAGTGTGGAAAATGATGACATTGGGTTTTTCCTTTTTTAAAAAAAAAAAATTTCTGGATTGGATTAGAGAAAATACGAAGAAAGGGGACAAGAAATACTATTTAAAAAGTAGCAAAGCAGCAGATATGTGGGATTGAATAGATCTGGATCAGGTGGCAAAAGAAGGGAAGAACCTTCCACGATTGATGTCTGCTTTTTAGGTTCCTTTTGAGTCAAAATGTTGTGCCTTGCAGTTTGGTGTTGTGGGTCCGATGTCTCTCTAATGCCAATGAAAAAGGGCAAGAAAAGCATAAAGCATAGACCAAAAATTAGACTGTTTTCGATCCTTCTAATGACCTGGTCAAATCCAACTAACTAGTTAAGCATAAATCAAGGTGAAACCCATTGTCTGCGGATGGGTTTTTTATCAACAAAAAAAAAAAAACAAAAGAAAGCCAGGAATCACTGGAGGCCTTGGATGAGCTGCTTTTCCAGGATGTCAGCCAGGGCTTTGTAAGCCGCCTCAGTTGGATGAATGCTATCCCAAAACAAGAATTGTGAAGGCGCTGTGCATGCAGGTGTCTCTGGATTACACAAGAACGAGGCTTCCAACAATCCAGTCCCGCAGCATCCTCTGTTTGTTACGGTGAAACCTGCATTACTTCCCAAAAATCAATTCCTCGATTTCCTTTCCAGGAAACTATTTAACTGGATCAGGTAAAGGCATAGTTTGTTACCATATTTTTGTGGATTGTTGACCATGTCGATCACCGTTGTATAGACATCAGCATACACGATTCTGCTCCCTGGAAGGGACGCCTGCAGCTGGGGCAACAAGTTCACAAGCTTTTGATTGTAAGACCGTGCGTCTGCGTTCTCATCCTCTAAGCACGTTCTATCCAAAGGGGGTTTTAGTCTTGCTGTGATTAGAACTGGAAGACAACCCATCGGAGGAAGCCCTGCTATAGCTATCCTGCGACAGCCCTGATCATATAGTGCCTGTGAACAAATTGAAGTTACCCTGTTAGAAAAAAACAAAATCTTAAGAGCCAAATTGCTTTATCCTGAGAGTTTTTTATGTAACCTGGACATAATCTTGCATTGCATTTTGCAGAAAATCCTGATAGCCTCTAATGTCAAACTGCGCTCTCCGGACAGGCAAGAGATAGTAATTGAAACCAAAGTCGTTAGTTCCTGCACTGATGACTACCAAAGAATTTTTAATGATGTTTTCAGCTTCTCTTTCACCAACAATGCCACCAAGTCTTGCTTTATAACTCTTGAAGAGATCAAGTTGCTCAGACATTGGGATGACTCCTGTTGCAACAGTGGTAAGATCATCTAATCCGGACCCTGCTGAAGCAAAACTGACGCCAGTCCGAAGGTCATTGTCTGAGAGATTCGGGTCTAGAAAAGGAGGGACAGTCTGTTTTATCCCTAGGAAGCCAGCAACAAAGTCTGGGATAAGTTTTCCATTCGAAAACCTCCCGGTAGGGATGTGACCAGGGAAATTTTGGCCATATGGAAGATGGTCTCCTCTTAAAAGAGTATGAATAAAGTTGTTATTGCCAGTATCAACAGTGGAGTCACCAAATATGAGAATGGAGGTGAAATTTGGCAAGGTTGCAGCCCTCGTTAGATTGAATGTGTTGATGATGATTAGCACCAGTGTGAAGACGAGTGTAGGAGCCATTGTTACCTCTCTTTTGGAAGGATAGCTTGGTGTTTACAAGGTAGAGCGATGGAGTATATATATAAACCTACGAGAAGTTACAAGTTGAAAAAAATTTTACGCTTAAAATTTTCGAGCCGAAGTCAAATTGAATATATATATCTTAATACATGTTTGACTTAAATTCTAATTGAGAGTTAATTTAAATTTGGTAGAATTTTATTGATTGAGCAATAAGTTTTTTAAAAAATTAAATATAATTTTTAAAGAGTAAGAACATTTTACGAATAAATAAATATATCTCTATAAATATGCATTTGAGTTTGTTTTAGAGTCGATTTTAGTTTTTATATTTCGATGTTTTATACTCTTAATATTTATGTTTATAAAGGATTTTTTTTTCTCTCTGGAATCTGTGAACATAGAGAATTAAGTGTCCAATTACGGCCATACGTGTTTGCTTAAATTTTTTCTTGAAAATCTCAATTACTTGATTACCAAAATCCTCGTCCATTAAACCCAAAAGGTGTAAACCCTAAACTAATTAATTACAGTAATAACAATCATAAATACAATGTAAAAGAATTGAATATTTGGAGAGAGAGAGTATACTGTAAAACGCAAGTTTATTCAAACACATTAAATTATAACAAGTGCCATTAAGTATCATAAACTGCCATTTATACGGCTTACATTGAATGTGTTCAACGGATAAAGTCTTTCTTTCCTCTTCTCCAGCCTGGGGCTAGATATTGGTATATGGTAATCTTTCAAAGTCATAAACAACTCATTAATTTCATATATTTATTACTTTTAATGAGAGTTTTTTCTTTCTCTAGGTGATCATCGATGCTATAACTGGTGGGTTAAGTCGATTCATATTGAGTTGGACTTGGATTGGCTTTCCCAGTTTAATTTATCTGAATTACTAGCATTTCCCGGTTTCCTCCATCTTGAATCCTGATACCGAGCTTGGAATAAGGGAAAAAAGAAGAGCATGCAGTTTCAGGAAAATGTGGGAATGTTCATCAACCGGATGTTGGCTGTTTGCCTGAGTGAAACAAGGCGAATGCCTTGATTGTTATTTCATATTTGGGATGAATTCAATGATAGTTAACTCTAATACTTAATTCTACATTAAAATTCATAACTGTTACGAATTTGTTTCCTGAAACCCGGAAAAGGTAGGCAATGCAAATAGATTAAGCTAGAAGTTGTTCACTTGTATCAGATTCAGTGAAGCAATAGCCATGGTCATCCAAGAACTGAGGAACTACTTCCTTCTCAAGGTATTTGGCAAGGTATCGGCAGGCTTCTTGGGTGGGATGAACGCTATCCCAAAACAAGTACTCTGAAGGCTTTCCACAAATTGGAGTCGCCGGGTTACACAGGAATGAAGCCTCCAGGAGTCCGGTGCCACAGCAACCTAGCTTTGTTTCTGCAAATCCTGATTTTGGCCATGGAAAAACGGATAAAAAATTGGTTTAATAATAACGTTTTACTTGAAAAAAAAAAAAAAACAGGTAGATTACCATATCGTCGAGGATGATTTATCATGTCAATCAATGAGTCGTAAACATCGGCATAGACAATTTTGCTCCTTGGTAGCATTGCTTGTATTTGAGGCAACAACTTTGCAAGCTTCTTGTTAAAAGATTGCGCAATTGAGTTCTGATCCTCCAAGCATTTTCTATCTTTTGGATTCTCAAACTTGGCTGTCATTTGAATCGGTAGGCAACCGATTGGAGGTAGACCAGCTACAACCATTTTTCGGCATCCCAGATCATATAATTCCTATAAATTCAATCATAACTGCATGAATGACTAGCTTTTTTAGCCCTTGCATTGTATCAGAAAAAAGCCACACTATACTCTCTCTCTTTCTTGGAGTGATGGTGGGTTATGAATGCAAATCCTTTTTGTTGCTAATGCATTGAATAGACAGGAGGCTATAGGAAAACGCAGCAAATGGAGAAAAACTGTTGTTCATATCTGTTTTCTTCTCAGATCTAACGAAACAAGACATTAGCAAACTTGTAATATCGAAGTGTAATTGAGTTATGTTTACCTTGACAAAGTTTTCTAGCCTTTGCAGCAAAAAATGTTGGTACCCGCTAATGTTGAACTCGCATCGTCTTGTTGGTATGTCGAAGAAATTGAAAACAAGGTCATTAGTTCCTGCACTGACTATCACTAGAGCCTCACCAATGATGTTCTTGACCTCCTTTTCTCCTACAATTCCCTTGAGCTTCACTATGTAACTCTTGAAGAGCTGAATTTGCTTTGAAACTGGGATAACATTGAATAACTTAGTAATCAAATCATCGTATCCTGATCCAGCAGAGGCAAAGCTAACACCTGTGCAGAGTTCATTTCTGATAGCTTTGGATCCAGGAAAGGAGGTACAGCCTCTTTGATTCCCAGAAAGGAGGCCACAAAGTCAGGAACAAGTAAACCATCCGAAAACCTCCTGTAGGAAGGTGTCCTGGAAAGTTTTTCCCATACGGGGGTTTGTTAGCCTTGAATAATGTGCTGATGTAGTTGTTATTGCCTGTATCCACAGTTGAATCACCAAAGATGATAATGGCAGGGAATTTTGGCTGTGCTGTGGGCTTAATGGGGCTGCAAGTGTTGATCAAGGTCATCCGAATGAGTATAAAGGTAAGAATGAAGAGGTTGGTGGATGCCATCCCAACTTTCCACAGTGAGATGATCACTTGGTGAATTTGATGACTACTTAAAAAATGAATAATGGAATGACCGTTTGTGACTTGCAAAAAGAACCATGAGAAGCAAGAAAACGTAAAATGAATGTCGAAGTTAAATTCTCTCCAAAGAAAGATAGTTGCAAAAATAACCAGCATATACCTGAGTGGAGATGCTCAGATGGGATGTGAGACTTGAAATGTACATCTCCATTTTTCCCAATAAAGATTTTCCAGATCGAGTGACTTCCTTGTGCTCCTATCTGAGTATCTTATGAAGGCGGCATTTCTTAATCTAGCTTTTAAGGGATAAGATCATAAACCAGAAGCCAGATTGAAAAGTGACTTCCAAGTGCAAAACTACCTACCCATAGCTAAGAATTCTGTGCCATCAAGTCACTTGTGCAAGGCAGACATTTGGGATGAAGTAATGGTTCAAGATCATTGATGGGGTAGTTGTGTTACATGGAAAAGTGTTCTTGATAAAGAAGTTAACTTTTATCTCAGAATACAGTAAATCACTGGCTTGGCTATGATGAAAATTGTCCCAAATCCCAATACAAGTGTGAAGCGTTTTGCACAGGTTGGAGTCAATCAATAGTAGAAGCTCCATTCTAACAACATCTAGTTTATCATTTGGTACACTAAATATTTCTGAGGTATTATGTCAATCACTGGCTCATACACCACCGCAAAGACAGTTTGGTCCCCTGGCGGTTGCTTCTGCATAATGAGTTTTGACCTTCCAAGCACCTTTGATTCTTGAGATGTCGTAGCTTAACAGTAATTCGAAAGGGAATGCAACCGATAGGAGGATGATAATTTCAAGCCCAAAAGGCCCATAAAGGCTAAACCCTTAGTCGGACAGTTTCGGAAACCCCAAAATGGGTTCTTCGAGCAGAGCCCAAAAAGGCCATAAAACGCTAGAGGGAGGGGTCGAACCTCCGACCTTATGGTTAACAGCCATACGCTCTAACCGACTGAGCTACTCCAGCTCGTTGAGAACCTATTTTCATAATGTAAATTAAAATGTAAACTTAGCTCAATAAATGCATTTAGCTCAAATTGAAATAATTGTAAAAATTAATTAAATTTGATTAATGTGGATCAATTTTTTTTACGTTAATATTTTTTTGGAAAGGCAAAATTTTATTAATAGGTCATTGGCCGTCAATATTAATCAATTAGGAAAGACAATTTATTTGATTGTTGTAATCCATTTGCAATATCTAAATAGGTGGTTGAAAATTATTAGTAATAATATATTTTAAAGTATGTTATATATATTCCTAATATTTTTAAAATACATTTCACTCAAATAAAAACAATCAATCGAGCATTGAGATAAGTCGATTTTAATTATTTATAATTTTTATTATAATTCGATTGATTTTAATTAATTCAATAGTTAAAATTTTTAAAAATATAATGACCAAATCGACCAAATACTCATTCCTAACATAACAAACAACCCATCATTTTCATAGGCTTCTATGATATTCGTGCACCAAAATATTTGATTTATGATAACAAGACAGTGAAAATCTTGAATTTAATGTCAAACTGATCAAAGCCCAAGACCAAAGACCAAGACCTTTCACAATCAAATCAAAGCATGAATATACAAATACTAAATGAACTCGTGGGTTATAGTGCTTTATATTTGTTTGATATAATTTTTAAACATAACAAAATCACTCATGAAATCCTACTCGATGTCCCGAAAAACGAAGCAAATCTATATAAATATTAATTAATTTTCCATCAACTGGTTGGGAAAGGACATGCTTCGAGTTAGCCTTTTAAACTTTTGATCTATAACATGCAGAACCAAAGCATAGAGCATTGACCAGAGACATTGTAACCTCAACTACCACTGATTTCTCCATTGAAAGATTTCACACAAGATGTGCAAAATCTTAACAAGTTCAGCTGCCATTGTTCTTATTCAAGAGAAGGAACTTAGAGGAAACTAGAACAATTGAAGAGAGAGTTGCTCTGGCCTGGAGGGTCATGGTTGGTGCTATCATATCTATGCAAATCCCATGTTTGAGCAGGTCCAACTATTGTTTACAGTTTGAAGATCACATGCATAGTCAAAAGATAGTATATAAGTTAACTGCATCATAATCATAATCTACTAATATCGTAATTTCAGTCATATAACTTATAATTTATATTCACTTACTGTGAATTGATTTTCAAAAGTGCATTCACGAAATCAATAATCTTTGCAAAAACAAATATATTCAACTCATATTTCTACATTGCCACTTCATTATTTCAATAGGAAAAAATGAATACCCCAACAGTTGATTCAATCATGTAAAATGAAAAAGAGAGGACCCTTTGAGGAATGGTGCCTAGAAAGACATCGTGGAGCTCTAATTACCACGTCCCGTGCAAGCTCAATTAAGGCAGCCTTGGGTCATTAATGGGGTTGGCGCCCTTTTGCTCTTTCCATTATTATTATTTTTTTAATCTTTTGCTTTTGTGATTAGACTCGTGTGGGTTATGCAGCATAGATTTTTCTTAGTGGCGCTTCCCCCACCAGTCCTTGCAATACTTACGTTAATGCAAATCAAAGAACAGTAACTTTCATGCAATCAAAGAGTGGCAGAGCTGAATTGAAGGGTACAATATTCCTCATAAAACCCCCCTGTGATGCTCACTCACACCACAAAATTCTAGTTCGGGTCCATAAGTGAAAAAAAAAAAAAGGCCAATATGGATCGTTTGTTTCTTCCTTGGCCTTTGCTTCGATACTCGATCGTACCAACCAGCCATGATTTAGACGGTGCACAAAAAAAAATCATTAAGCCCATCGTTTGCGTGTGTAAGATAGAACTTGACCTTTCACCAAATATTTTTCTGGATCCATTCATGGATTTATTACGCCTTTTATATATCCTAGTTACGAAATCAAACTTTATTCTTCGAGATTTGCTTTGAATGCAACATGTTAATTTTGTTCTGAATTTAGAACCGTAACCTTGATCTTTGATGAAAAATCAGTGAAACGATCCATGAATTATTTTTTTTATTGTTGCATTTCAGAGCTAAGTGTGATTCAGTGAACCCAGAGATTCAAGCTTGACAAAGCGCCAGCTAACAGCAGGCAAAACCCATGGATGGAGATGAAGCCATGCACATGAAGAACTTAGGATACATATCTGAACCTAGAGATAACAACACAAGAATACAAAACCAAGCAATTTTTTAAATGGGGGTTAGAGAGACGACTCCGATGGGGGAGGGGGAAAGAAAAAGTACCACGGCAGTGCATGCAGGTTACATACAAACCTTCAATCATACTCTAAGACCCATGTTGATTAATCCATCAGGAACTGAACATTAATTAATTGGGGTTCCACCTGTGGAGACAGACTTGACTCACGTTGTTCAAAAATGGGATAGTGTGTGTGTGCGTTTTTTTTTCGTCTTTCTGTTTTCGATTCAATCTTAATTTAGCAATCTCTGGCAGTAGCTAGCAGGCCTCGTGCGTAACTAGCTTTTTAAGCCATTGTTTGTCAGTTGATTATACCTTAATAAACCTATTCCAATCGGCTATGGTCGGTGCCGGCCAAACCTCCGTGCCAGGAAACTTCGTCCCCCTGTTACGTACAGCGTGTAAGGTATCTGTTGATTTACCTAAACACGAACTCGAATATAAAGCAGACAAGATATTAATCATGTCTTAATATTCTATGTTGATTTGTTCTTCAACTTTCGCGTATGATGAAAGGGAATTAGTCCTAATGATTGGGATGTAAAAACAGATAATTAGAGGCGGAAACTGTTTGACCATAAATGGTACTTAAATTTCTTAAGAAAGAAAAAAAACCTAGGTAATAACTAGATTATGATCAATTAAGGGTGACCTCGATTTGGGTGTAGCATGTTGAGACAAAATTATTGCTTCAGTTTATGTTTCTTATAGTACGGTGGCTTGTATTTCTCCATAGTGTAATCTTACTTAAGAGAATGTTATTCTTTTTTGTTTTTCCTTTTGGGGATAGATGTATCACATTAGATTATAGCAGGATATTATTGCTTCAAAGTTTCCATTGTCGATAAATATTAGAAATTGCAAATCAAGATGTTTGAGAGAGATATATAGGAAGTCTGAGAAGAATGAAGTGTCTCGATGATGATAGTTCGAGAATGGTCAATGAATCTCTTTCGGACGGAGATTTTCAAAATAAAAATGCTAGCTCTTAATTTGACAATAAAACAAAAGAAATGAAATAAAAAACTTTGAATCTAAATATCTTCATAATTTTTGTTCATTATTTTCACGTGTAAGCATCACATTATAAGTATTAAATAATTGGTTAGTATAGTAGTAGACTAGTAGTACTCCTCCTCATGTTTTTCTTTTAACAAATAAAATGAGAAAAAAAGGGGAAACGAAATTGTCTATCATTGCAGTCCTATCAGATACTAGCTGGCTAGCCAAGTGGATCGGGGTCCGAAACCAACTCTCAAGGGCCCAAGTGTTCTTCAGCCAGACTGGTCCAATGATTCAGCCGTGACTTGACCACCTTTGTACTCCTACCTTACCGCCAGTTGCCTGATCAGCACCCAAAAAAAAAAAAAGAAATTAAATATTAAGTATATAACCTGTACTCTTGAATTGTCATTCCGTACCTAATCACATTCAATCCATAGCTCAAAAATTACTTATTTTATATTTATTTTAAAAAAAGAGTATTGATTTTGTTCTTTCCCAACCTCTGCCTATATTCGCGATAACTCGTCATGGGCCACGTTGCTGTGGGATCCATCATTCGCCCTCAATATTACTATTTAATTCACACTATTCTTAAGATTTAGTGTTAATACAACCTTAATCACCACTTAATCTCTCCTTATACCTTTCCGAGAAAACCCTTGTGGTAAAACTTAAAGATTTATCCCGGTTTTGTCATTTCATATCAATATTTTTACTTGATTACGAATTGAGAAGTAAAAATTAAGGTAATTAACTTTGTTTATATAACTTAGGGATGATTAAAAAATAAATTAAACCGATTTAGACACGTTTATTAAGATTCGGGTAATTCGATAATGATGAGGAATCTTTTACTTAATGAATTTACCTTTATATTATTTTTAAACTATGGGGTTTGTGTCTCATATAAATATATGATTTGAGTTAAAGTTAGGTCAGGTGACACTGTCTTTTTTTACTTCTTGAAGTAAGGTGCTACTATTTCTTTATTAATTAAAACACACTTCTAATGACAAGATTTAGATCTATGTGAGAAAATTTCACGATGCACTATAAAACAAATTGATTTTTTTTTCTTTTTTTAATCAAAATAATTAGCATGATCAACTATAATTTCCTTAGAATTTTATTATCTTTATTTAGAATTTGACGGCCAAATTAAGAACAATTTAAGCAAACCAGTACAAAGTCGTGTAAGATAATCATGATTCCCTTTGCCTTTATCCGCACAACATGATAGAACCCTTAGCACAGCACGGGCAGCTCTAGCATTAGGAAAACCAAATTTCAAAACGATTAATTTTAATTAGAAACCTAATCATATTTATATAAATATAATAATACATAATTATTAAATTCTTTTATGAAACATATTTTCAAATTAATACTGATGGAATAAAGCAAAACAAAAACTTTCTATTTTGTATTAAGAATTTTCTCGTCATTTTATAATTAATGTTGATGAGTTAGCCAAAAATTAATGTGTGATGAGTCAATTAAAACCGATATCGGATTAATTAATGCTGCGAAGTTATGTTTTTTATCATATTTTTAAGAATAAAAAATATCTTTGGGCTTATAATAGGAGTAGGACACTTTCGTAATTTTGAATAAAGCATAAAAATATAATATTTTTCTACTTTAGTGCATATGAGTACGGTTGTAGCTATATAACGTTGTCCACCCTTTGATCACAAATTCATTCCAAGGAAGAGAAAGGAGAAGAGAGGCACTAAGAACGAGTTTGAAAGGCTTGAGAGAAAGGGTGAGTTTGATTTCCGAAGAAGAAGACATGGGCAATAGCTTAAGGTGTTGTTTGGCTTGTGTTCTTCCTTGCGGAGCTCTAGACTTGATCCGTATAGTCCACCTGAATGGCTACGTAGAAGAAATCACGGGTCCGGTCACGGCAGGGGAGATCCTCAAGGCCAACCCCAACCACGTCCTGAGCAAGCCCTGCTCCCAGGGTGTAGTACGTAAAATCTTGATCCTCTCACCGGAATCCGAGCTCAAAAGAGGCAGCATATACTTCTTGATCCCATCCTCTTCTTTGCCTGAGAAGAAAAAGAGCGGCGTACACCATAAAAAGCACTCCAAGAACAAGAGCAACAAATGCAGCGGCGGTGATGTTGTTGTTGCAGACGACTGCGATCGTTATCTATCGAACGTCGTTTCAGAGAAGAAATCCTCACGTAGAGATGGCCGGAACGGTCGTGTCGGAGTATGGCGGCCTCATCTGGCAAGCATCTCCGAAGACTAACAAAGTCTTTTTTTACCCCCCGCCCCCGCTCCTCCATCGATCTCATCACATCTCCATGGATACTATCACAGTGGTTCAATCATGCAATGGGGACGTGTTTTTCTCTTTTCCTTTTCAATTTTTCGTGGGGTATTGGTTTTTGTGGATATAATTTACTTCAATTCCCTTTTGGTTTTTTTCGATCTGCGGATAATAATGGCAGATTCGGAATCCCACCATTTGCTCATGATGAAACCTATAGATGATTCATGGAGAGAGAAAGAGAGAGACATATTTGTACTAATGGTATTGTATTTACACCCTCAAGATGTAAGTAAACAAATGCTTTCTTCTTCTTCTACCTTCTCTTTTCTAGTGTGATGTTCTCCATATTAATAATTTGTCGTCATGAAGCTGATGATTTATCAGCATCTTGTCTCTATGTGTGTGTTTGATCCAACATTGGAATAATTTTCAGAAGTTGAAACCTTTCATTCGTTTGATTTTCATTTACTAAAAGGTTTAATAAACTATTGATTGATCACTTTGCAGCATTAATTCAATTAGTATCGAGAGTTCTAGGGTTAATTAGACGATAAAATAATGACTTTTTCTAACAAAATTTTTCATTGAAAGAAGTTCAAATTCCGTAAAAAATTCTCCATTTCTATACTAAGACAAAGATTATTAATTATTTTGGTCTTTTATGGTAACAATCTTAAAATTAGTTATACCAAATTTTGACGATGAGGACCTTAATTAATCATTCAACCAATTACTTAATTCTTTAATAATCTGAGAATAATTAATTCGTGATAATCATTATTTTATCATCGTAAATTAGTGACAAAACACTCACAATGATGATTAGCTAGCTCTGATTAATTGAATGAAGAACAAGGAATTTTTTTTCTTCCTTTGTTAATGTTCAAATTATATACAATAAGATGGAACATGGCATGACATTTCTTTAAATTATTATGGAAAGCAAATTAGATTAACATTTAAGATTAATGATTGTGAGTTTACATTTATTCTTTGAGCTCTAGGGAAGAGTTTTGAAACCATCCATATTCAAAGAAACAAAAATAGATAAGTTTATCATCAAACCCTAAATTATTGCTAGCTTTCCTTCCACCTTACAGCTGGTATAACATGGTGCTTGCCATCTATGGCAAACTCCTTAATAATTAGTTGACCCTCTCTCCCTTAGTTTATTCTTCTTTTTTTCTTTCTTCTAGTCATCGGGAGACATCTAATCAGAATTCAGATAAATCATAAATAAACCTATAAAATTAATATTAATACGTATATAAATCAAAAATTAAAAAAAGTTAATTAAAGAGACGGAAAAGGACAAAAATGACAACTTATATATATATATATATATATATATAATTAATTTGTTTATCTTATTCATATAAAAACGAAATCCAAAAGTTGATAAATAGCGACATCTCCACGCTAGCATATAAAAATAATTGCAAAACAAGCTGGCAAATCCCCCTTGAACATTTATCGTATAACACAGTCCTCACATGGAGAATGGATTCCCCCCCCATAAATGTTAGACAAAACTTACACACCCCTTTCTCAAACCCTAAACCCTTTAGTTTTTTTTTGTTTTAATTAGTTCTGGACCACACAAGACTTTCCCTTGGTGTTAGTGTTTTTTGGCAGATCATAGATTTCCCTTTCTTCGAGTCATTTATCTCTTATAACTACTAATTTTTCAGCATTAAAAAGATAATCACATGGATTCACGTCTACTGTCTTTTTACAAACAAAATTAATCAAAACCCAATTTCAATGATGGGTTGCTTGATTGATAATATTGATCAGTTGGGAGCTCAGATCCCCATGAACTCTCTCTGCATCGATCCTTGTGCGACTTTTGGCGACTACGAAATTAGTCACCAAAGGGCTGAGTCCACGGGCTCAGTCGCCAATTCCCGCAGGAGAAGTTGGCGGATTTTCTCTAGATTGGAGACATAAAGGTTCATGTATATGCAAACTTATAATAACTAGCTATAGCCATGTAGAGGGAAGTGAGTTTCAATAACATATTACTAGTCAAATGAAAGTCTTGAATCTTAGTACATTTTGTTTATAAAATGTAAAATCACCTCGGAAAACAGATTTGGGTTCAACTTGAAAAAGGTTGGCTCGATCCAGCATCAACTATATAGTATTAAATTTAGCGGGATTTTGATTTGATATTAAACTTTACCCTTTCACTGAATGTTTCCAGGGGCGTTTCTGATATGACCAGCAGTTTCCTGATCCTGTGGCATGCTTTCTATAGTTTCCCCCAATCTGAGGTTATGTTAAAGCATGTCCCCCATGTAAAAGTTTTGATTATTTGTAAATTGTTAAAATTATATTTTAAGAAAATACAAACAAAAATTTCTGTTAAATGCAGAAATATCATCTTTACAATGTTATGACATTAATTCTAATGTATAAAATTAAAATGTTAATGTAACAAGTACATATTCTTATAACAATTTAGTAATTAACAAGGCGAAACTTGAACAAAAATTCATTGAACATGAACTACACAAAAAAATTAAGATAATTCTTACTCATTTCATAAATATGGCATTCCTATTTACAAAGTACAAATATTTTTTTAGATTTCATTTCGCAATTTTAAATAAAAAATTTTCTATTTATGTATTTTAAAAACCTTGTAAATTTGATGATATAAACCTTGACAACCATTTTTTTTTCTTATTTTGGTATTGTCTTCCCCCTTCGGCCTCCGAGTCTCTAACCATAGCACCCCATTAGTGAGAAGCCATGATCCTAACTGGAAGGCCCAAAGGGCCTAGGCTCGCCATATGTGACCATTTTGGTGAAGGAAAATCAGAAATTGCGCAAGAAAATCACTAAAACCAACAATAATCTTATACAGACAGAAAGAAAAAAAGGAGACAATGGTTAATTCCCCTTTAAATGGAAGATTTTGCAAATATTGTTTGTGATTAATTTCTAATTAAGACGATGGCCAAACTCTACTATACTTGCGGGGTATATCTACAACTGTGCATGAATCCTGGTCCATCGAGTTGTTCGAGGTGCCGCCGTTCCTTCTGCCGGTCCCCGGCAGTGTTTGTTGTTGCACCACCAGCACCGAGACTTCGCAGCCGGAGTCTGCTGATGCTAACATGTCCCCGACGAATCCTAGCTCTGGAAACTCATTCCACTCGGTGAGTCCCATGAACAATGGAGACTCGGTGTCGTGGCGTCTTCCCACCAAGAGAAGGTCATAAGAGTTCTCCATGGAACGGATGACCCCGACTGTTTCCACGCTGTCGGACACAAATTCCTCCTTGTACACGTGGTGTTTTTTTCCCACATGCGCGATCCTGAAGTCGTTGACGATGCGGTCATCTTGTTCCGTGTCATGGCAGCCGTCTCCTGCTTCTTTCTTTTTCTTGTTGGAATCCACCAAACGGGTGACCGTTATGCTTATGTTGGGGTGTTCTCCCATGCGCATGACGTACGCTAGTGCTTCTCGATCATCGGGGCCTTCCATGAAGATCATTCCGATGCTGTATATAGTTTTACTTGACATCGAACTTGTGCCAGTCAACGTGCCACGGTCCACCAAGATCCCGACCGAGCATGGGGCGTTTCGGAGGATTTGTTGATTGACTGATCTGATAGGCTTAGGCAATTCTTCGACTTCAGTACTTGTACTCCATTGCTTGTGGAAAGGGATAATCACCATGGAAACTCTCTTTTCCAAGGCAAGACTGCAAATTTCATCATGCATGGTGACATAAGGTGAAACGGCTGTGAATAAGTTCACGACGACAGCACCCTCATTGCTCTGCTCGTATAACCTGAAAGCGTTTATCATGTGCTCGGAACCATGCAATTGAGCCGGATGCCTTCTCCCTGGCCGGTGAGTTATGAGGAGTGGAGCTGATCGGCCGATGAGCTCCAGGAGGTGAACCACGTAGAAACAAATGGGGCTTTTCGCTGTTGGGTTTGATAATTCGAGAAGATTGATGATTGAAGGAGTCTGGTATTGACTGTAAATACAGGCCAGCATTCGGAGCTCTGTCTCTGGATGTGCGTGCTCAATGGTCCTTTTCTTATGAGAAAGGTATAGCTTGGATGGCTTGTAAAGAAACTTCACTAGAGGAGTGATGATTCCAGTCGTCAAAACCATTGTTATCGACATGATGGTATATGATTCTACGTCAATGAGCTGCCCAAAAAGAAGCGTGTTGATTGCATTGTGTCTGGAAATCATGGGGAAAAAAGAACAAATTAATGATGGAAAGGTATAGAATTATTTACCGCAAGCCGCATTGCGTGCTGTAGAATCAATATATCGGTGATGCCTTGGGCACACAAGATCAGGCCTAAGGAAATAGCATCAAGAGGGGGCATATTGCAGTAAAGTGAAGGCAAGACAGTGGACAAAAGTTTTCCGATTAAGTTACAAACAGCCAGAACCGAGATGATAGCCACAGTCTCCCAATGTGCAGTTCGGATGTTCACGTTAGAGCCGGATACTGTGAAATAGGTCGGTAGGAGAATTGACGAAACGTAAGAATCAAGTTTGCTAACCAGTGCTGATCCTAATGGCGGTCCCTCTGGCGTTGCCATGCCCAAAAACATTGGCCCCATGATCAAGTGGTGCCCGATAACTTCGCTAAAGAATGAACACCCTAAAATCATCATGAAGACAGCCAAGATATGACCCTCTTTCAGAGATTTTCCGTCACTTGTGCGCCTAACTATCCACAGCATGACCGGCCGCAAGACGTACACTATGACGATCAGCAAGAGGCTCAAAGACAGGAACATCCATATCACGGTTTCCTGTCTTCCTACACGACCTTGCATGAATGTCATGGTTACAATTGCCCAACACCAGGAACACGTGCCACTAACCAAAGAAGAAGACGTGGCTAACCGGCCCAGCTCTGAGTTGAGTAGATTCAGATCAGCCAGGAGGCAGACCACGACGTGAAAGGAAGTCAAAGCTTGAAACGAGGCGATGAAAAATATGGATTTCCGTACTTCTGGACCCATTTCAATAGTTGCCGTTATAATGGCAGCAACGATCGTGTTTAGCGTAATGGGCACCACAAAAGATAGAACCCCAATGATCACTGCTTTCTTTCCTGTTCTCTTAACCATGCTTAAATCCGTCTTCACTCCAACTAAAAACAGAAACAGCATGCACCCAAAAAGGGCAAAGGTTTTATTGACATATTGGCTTTTGCGGGGATAAATCGTGGTAATGACAGGATTGTCACCATTCCAGAATGTTGGTCCAGTCAGTATACCAGTCTGGTTGCATTAATTAAACATCAAAACTTAGACAGTATTTAAACGCTTAATTCCTTGCATATATAACAAGAAAAGAAATAATTTCTTACCAACATCTGTGAGAAAAAGGCACTCTGACCCAGAGGGGTGAGTAATAGCTGCAATACGGCAGTCAATAGAGCTGAAACAGAAAGTTGAACGAAAAGTACAGGCGTGGCAAAATTGAATGGACTATCCCCGAGGAAGATACCCCTCGATCTTACGTTGTGGTTATGGTGGCATATCCAGGTATCATTAATTATACTGTCAGGCATTGTAGCAGCTCAGCAGAAGAGACTCACAAAGTTAATATGTCAGCATGTTATGGCAATCCGCCGGAAAAAAAAATGTTTATCGCCACAGAGAGAGAGAGAGAGAGAGAGAGATTGAAATTTAGCTGGTTGAGAGAGGTGCAGTGATGAAGGGCTTTGGAAGGTTGGATAGCTGAATGGACAGGAGGATCATGCGGGTTTGCACACCTACAATGCTTCTCAAGCACACATTTTTTTCTACGTTTGCCCTTGAAATATTAGCAGAAGGTTCTTAGTCACCACTTATCAAACAAGGGATTTAGCCATAGATCCGAATATATTATCTATAGCTGGCTAGAGCCTACACCAATCATAAATTCTTCGAAGGAATGATCAATATTTCCTCCCCTATTTTGTTTATCTGTGTAAGATGCTTGGATTGGGAGTAAACAAAGGTAATTCAGACATCCCATCACATACTTACACTTCAAAAGTCAAACTTAATTAAAACTTTTTCATGATAATTACGGCTGGTCAGAGCAGTATTAATCACTAATAAAACACACTAACACGTGAGAGTTGCACATAGAATGGAACAGAGGATTTGGATTCTCTCGACTTTCCCTGACATGTCACGCTCACCGCATTTCTTGAGGTCTCTCATGCAGTAACCATGAATCATCATAACCCCTTCCAAAGATAGCAAGGTCATAAGCATTCTCTCTATTGATTTAATCACAGCTTAGTAAGCTTGCTGCAGCATCCGCCTTGCCTCCTGCCAGTCTCCTTTCAAAAGTAAATTTCTCAAACAACAAAAAACTGACGGACTGAGGAAAAAAAACTGATGAAAAGAGGGCAATTCGACAAGTATAAGGACAAATACAGCAGCTTAATTACTATCTTGATCTGAGAAACAATAGAGGGCTGGGCAAAGAGCTTGAGGAGGATGCATATGGAAAGCTGCAGCAACAAGAGAGGGATAGAGAAGGAAAGAGGGTCATCTCCAAACCGTGGAACTTTAGGGTTTTGAATTGCTCTGACCAACGGCATAACACTTGTAGGGTACCTGATCCGCATGTGTCCATACCTGAACCACCCTCAACCTGACTAGTATTCCATCATTGCAGTAAAAGTAGGCTTTGCTTCTGTCTTTTTGGGATCTGAAAGGGTTCAGTTGCAGTTCAGCCCCTTGGGAAACAACGGAGGACAGTGAAAGGAAGAGATAGAGTACGAGGAATCCCATTTGGATGAGGCAGATTGGCGAAATGGCAAATGAAGCATTAATATTTCCATTTTATACGTCGATTTTTGACAAGTTGTAAAATTTTGTGCAAAAACCCATCAGGTGTTTTAGTATCAGAGCCAAAACTACATGTCAAACTCATCGGGGAGCCGATCTAATCTTCAAGATTT